TTTTTTTTTTTTCCTGTCCTCGCCATATAATTTTGGTCAGAAATAACTATTTCACATTTATTGTGTCATATATATATATATATATAATGTGTATCTATATATGTGTATCTATATATGTGTATCTATATATGTGTATCTATATATGTATCTATACATATATAGAGATACATATACAGATCTATATATATATTCTCAAATCATACATTAAAACAGGGATTCACAAATCCCAGGAGCCCCGTAGCCAATGCTCCTTAAAAATTAGGGGTGCACCAATATTGTTTTTTTGGTTACGAGTACCGATATTCATCTTTTTGTACTTGCAGAAACAGAGTATTGATACCAGTACTTCCGCTAGCATGGAGCTGGTTTCCCTGCCAATCGGGAAGCTGGGCTGCAAGTCGTCATCCATGTTCCCTCACAGCACTGCTGGTCAGAGGAAATCTCCTTCTGCGTGGAAGTTCCGGTATCGGGGGTAAATCTGCACTGATACCAATACTAGTATCGTTTTTAGTGCATCCTCATTAAAAATGAAAGCTGCCTCATCACTTTTGAGTTTTTCCCTAGTCTGGTAGCTGGAAAAGTATCTGTACTTGTACCAAGTAAGGTAATTGCTATCTGCATCCCTAGTCTGTGCTATTTAAATTCCTGTAATAAATAAACAATTGTTCATCATTAGGGTCAGGTTAAGGTTCACATTCAGGAGGTATCAGGCAATACACTTTTGCACTTGTTTTCAGTGGTGAAACCTCCAAGCCTTTAAATAGCAAGTTCTAGGTTCTCAGTACTGAAACTAATGTAACACAGTTTTTGCACAGCTTATTAGCCAATCACTGAAGCAGAGTGAGAAAATTTAATGTTAATATGCCATACTGTGGTGATATTTATTTGTTTGTACCTGATTCAGTAGACAACTTGACGAGACAAATCTTGTGTTTTTTGTGGTGGATTGAGAAAAAGGTTTTCCTTTTTTTTTTTTTTTAATCAGATGCCATATGTTCTAAGCAAAGGGGAATCACATTATTTTTATGAACGTATCTTAAAGAGGTGGTCTAAAAGGAGCATTTGTAAATGTTTTTTTTTTCTTGGCCTATATTGAATTTGTATTAATGTTTTTCAGCTAAGTTTTGTGAATTGCTCCAGTTACAATGTGCCCTAGTGGTGTGTTACAGTTTTAGTCATTCAGAAAATCTGCATTTCTCAAAACATTAGCTTTGTCTTTATTCATGTAAAATGTTGTCTTGATTAGGTCTTGGCTTTAGCATTGCTGGTGGTGTTGGAAACCAGCACATCCCTGGTGACAACAGTATTTATGTTACTAAGATCATTGAAGGAGGTGCAGCACATAAGGATGGAAAGCTTCAAATAGGAGATAAACTTCTTGCAGTAAGTATGCATAACTAGGCTTCTAACAGAAAGATGTCTTGGCATAATTACACAACAATTACATACCTGAATACATAAATGAGCAAATATTACATTGACAACATGTTAAAGCAGTGAAAAGTAAGCGTGTGTGTTAATTATGCTTTTTTTTTTTACACCTTACTGTAGAACTAGGGCCAGACTATGGATATTCAAATATTTACATATTCTTAACAAGCAGCAAATAAAGGTTTAAAACAAATCCTCACTGACATCTGTTGCAGACACTGTAAAGATCGCAGGAGGAGCAATTAAGTTGTCCAGGTTAAGTCTCGGGTGTCTCCCTTTTCCTGTGCACCTTCTCTGTTTACATTAGAGATCAGAGGTCTGCCAGGCTGCCAGGTCAGGACTGGCAGGAGGAGCAAAACAAGTCTGGCCTTCTCTATGTTTACATTAGAGATCAGAGGTCTGTCAGGCTGCCAGGACTGGCAGGAGGAGCAAAACAAGTTGAGGGAAAATTGAAAGTGTCTTTGCTGTAAACTTTGAGTATGAGTACTCCACAGTGCCCGCAGCTACAGAGCTCACTTAGGCCTTGTTTTAAACATATTTACTTCCTGTTAAGAATATGTAACTATTTGAGCATAGCCTGGCCACCATTTTACTTTGTCAGCTTTAAATGAAAAATTAGTACGTAAAAATCAGTTACATTATGTCAATGTGACGAGTGATATTAAAGTTTGGTGATAGAGCTATCCCATCCTATCCTATCTATCTATCTATCTATCTATCTATCTATCTATCTATCTATCTATCTATCTATCTATCTATCTAATCTCCCATACTTAGAAAAGGTTTAAATAAATACCATTATAGGTCTTAATCTGAATAGTTAATCCTCATCGAAAGTATAGCACTAACAGTGACTCTATATGAAATAAACATCACATCACCGGTTGGTAGCAGTCACTGTAAGGTTCCTGCTCCCACCTTGTCTGTGATTTCTCATCAACCTTTCACTCCAGCCACCTTCAAAAACTCTTAAGTAAAGGGAACACATGACCCTACCCCTGCCTCCCACAACTGCAAATCATCAGGGCGTTGGTTAAAGATTTTGGGCGATGGGGTGTGAGCAAGATATAGCAAACAGCTTTGTGAATAACCTAAATTTTAAAGTGGAATTCCAGTCACAATTTTGGAAAGTGTAGGAGAAGTTTTTTTGCTGTCTTTGTCCCTGTTGGAACTACTTCTTTTTTTTTTGGGCCTGCTGTCACTAGGACAAACAGCAGGAGGAATCTAAAATGTTATAGTTGTCTGAAAAAGAGTGTGACGGTGACAAATGTCAAAGGTGAATTTTTCCCTAATGTGTGAGATTTTGTGTTACTTCTGTGTTGAGGTTTTAACCCTAACCCTTCCCCACTGTCCAAGAGTTCTCCATGTTCTTTCTTTTAATTCACCTTTAATTTACCTTTAATTTGTATTCAAATCCAAAAGGATTATTACTGTTTAAAGGATCCCACCCAGTAAAACCCCAATGATGGGCATATTTCTTGATTAGTGTCTCAGACCGTTTAAGTCTCTAATATTGTGTACTTGTCACACATGACAAATGTCTTGAGAGAAAAAAAATGTAAACATCCATCAGGGGTGTGGAAATTAAAAAAAAAACTACTTGTCCAAGGGCTAAAGCGGGGGCCAAATCTACTTGTCCTTCATGACAATCTACTTGTGCCTATACAAAAAAATAGTTTTAATCAAAACTAGGGATGCACCAATACCGTTTTTTTCAGTATGGAGTATGAGTACCGATTTTTTTGCTTTCGGATCTCGCCAACACTGAATACTAATACTGGTGCTTCCGCTGGCATAGAGCAGGCTTCCCTGGTAATCAGGAAGCCGGGCAGTGGGTAATGACATCCCGCCCGGTTTCCTGATTTTCACGGAAGCCTGCTCCATGTTTGGCCTGCTTGATTGTGATTGGCCGGGAAACCTGTTTCCCGGCCAATCAGGAAGCTGGCCGGTGAGTAATGACCAAATTGACCGGGAAGCTGGCTTGATGCCGATTGGCCAGGAAGTCGGCTTTCCAGCCAATCGGCAAAGAGCCGGCTTCCCGGCCAATCAGAAAACCAGGAGGCAGGTCATTACTAGCCGCACGGCTTCCTGATTGCACGGGAAGCTGGCTCCATGTTCCCCTACGACACTACCAGTCAGAGGAAATTTTCATCTCGACGTAAGTTCCAATATCGGGGAAGGTATCTGAGTACTCGCCCAAATACTCTGTATCGGTGCACCCCTAATCAAAACATATTTGACTGTGCTAAATAGAGCTTCTCACTGGTCAGCGCAGTCATCTGACCACGTTGACCAATGAGTGCTTGCAATTTGCGAGCGAAATTCAAAATGCATAGGGGAGGACTGCGCTGGACAGCAGTACGGGGTACAGATAGTGCGGCATTGTTCGCCGAAAGGTAAGTATAGCCAGGGGGGTGGCGGTTTGGGAAAGACGGGGCCAGATTTCATCGGGTAATTTTATTTTTCCATATTACCTGGGAAAATGAACTTACCCGTTAATGCACATTGTGTGTGTGTGTAAGAGAATTCTGCTGCCTGGCTACCACCATTGAATGGCGGAGGCAATGTCAAAGCGCATGCAGAATGTCCTACGCATGCGTTTATTTGCATGCAGATGAGGGGGGTAGCGGGGTTGGTTTTAATTTTTTTTACTTTTTCATATTTTATTAACTTTTTTTAATAACTTTTTTTTTTTTTTAATTATTTACTTTTTCCACGTAATGTTATTCCGGTCACATAGGGGATTAAATTCCCCCCTGTGATGGTTTGGAGGTGACCGGTTCTCTTTATGGAACCTGCCCTCCGACACAGAACAGATGTTCTGTGCAGTTCCTGACAGCCGAGACAGGTGGCGCTGTGATTACAGTGCCGCGGTCTCGGAGAACACACAGAGAGCCCCGGGCATCGGGCGATAGGAATTCCACACCCCTGATCCATGTAGAAGGGTACAGCTGAATGATAAATAATCTGCTATGGAAGCCAGAAAATTGTTTTGGTTACATACCTGAAAAGAAGACCTAAGTGAATCATGGGCTTGCTTTTTTTTTAATCTCAAGGTCATCTACGTAATGCATAAACCCCAAACTCTTTTTTGCTATCTTCTTGCGCCTAAGCATACTTCTGTAACTTACTCCTTCCTATTTTAGCCATATTTTAGACCCCCGATTTTCGGCCGATTTGTTTTTAGGTCTCAAAACCCATCTTATACGCCGGCAAATACGGTACTATACTTGTCTGAGAAAGACAAGTGTAGTAGCTGCTGGCATGTGCTGTTGTCGGCTTGTGTTTTTGTGAAGGACAGCTCTGCTCCCAAGCCACTGCCATTTACACAATATGAGCGACCAGCTACTACTGTAGTCATCTCCTCCAGAACTACCTGGTGGCTGTGGGAAGTTGCAGGCTTAGTCTGTCAACAGTAGCAGTGGAGGTACAGCTACAGAATGGAGAAGGGGCTGTGGGAAGTTGCGGGCTCAGTTTTTTATCTGTACTAACAGAGCAGAGTAAGCATGGCTGCACAACAAGGAGGGCTGCCGATGTTCCGTCTACAGCATTCAAAGGAGGTAGCGGTCTGTATCTGCCCGCCCCTTCTCTTCTGTGTGCTGTAGGTCAGAACTGCCATCTCCTTGCTCCAGTGTAGTCAGAAAGCAGTGGGGTTAGCTTTCTGACAATGCTTCTAAGAAGCCACAAAACCAGTTTTTAACAGGGACAAGTGCTAAGTGCACAGGGTCCTCTAGTGGGCAATTTCACAAAAACCTGCAAATGTAGGTAGTACATTGGCCCATGTGTATCATTCATTATAAGCCATATTATTTCAAAGCTTCCGTACATTCTGCATCAATATAATGGCAGAGAGAATGTAATTCTGTTTGGTTAGTTGTTTCTATTGTAACAAACAGCTTGCTGGACCACAAAAGACAGTTGACTTTATCTAGCTGTTATGTGCAGCTCTTTTGTCCTAACCGGGTTCAAGGCCATGTGAAAGAGACAGCAGAATGTCACTTAGATCCATCATGCTCAGTGAGCAGCGATTTTTCTTTGTCTCTTGGGTAGTGTGCTCCATTTAGGCTTTCCAAAATTGAAGTTGTGCTGAAGTGAAAAAGGTTGTTGGGTTTGCAGAGAAAGATATTCCCTAGTAGAACCACAATGATTGTTTACAAATATGACAATGAGTGGATAGTATAAAAACATAGTATTTTTCAGTATGTCGTATATCGGTAGACTAGCCTTCAGGAGTCAAAAGCTTACATAACTTTTTTTTTCCACCAGTTCTTCAATAAAAAAAAAATATAGGTTTGACATGCTATATAATTACCTTGTCATCAATCTTCTTATCTTCCAGGTAAATTCTGCGTGTTTGGAAGACGTTTCTCATGAAGAAGCTGTGACTGCTTTAAAAAACACATCAGATTTTGTGTATCTTAAAGTGGCAAAACCTACTACCATGTTCATGAATGACAGTTATGCTCCACCAGATATCACCAACTGTGAGTTTCACTCTTTCTTAATGGCACATTGAACTAACTTACCACATGATGATCAGTTTTTCTTTCCTGCTTGTAATGTTGAAATTTCTTAATATAATACTAAAATATTTTGCAGAGAGCATTTAACTGTTCCCAGACTGCCATGGAAAATTGTTCAGTCTACTGTGCTACAGCTAAATATGTTTTGTGACCCTTTATGTAGAAAACCTAATTATTTGTCAGTATTTTTGCAGACCACGGCTAAAAGCTGGGCCATCCAAATATAACAGCACAGAGCGCCAGCAAACTAGCCATCAAAGAACATCCAGCCACAAAAAAAGTGTATGGGTACCCTCCAGAATTTTCAGATCTTCTTCCTTCAGGATATTTGTACTGATAGCAACATATTATGGTCTTTAAAGTAGACATGTAACAAACTTGGCCAATTCAGAGTGTGGGAATATGCAGGAGCAGAGAGAAATGCATGTGAAAATCATCGGTAGTCTATGGGATATAGACAAGTCAAGCTATAAGCAAATCTCAGCTATGCCTGTAAATTTGTTCTCCCAAGCCTCCATATTGGTCCTTAACTACCTCCGGGCCGGCCGTAGTAAAAAAACGGCCGGCTGGGAGCTCTCTAGATCTGAGCGGGCGTCCTTAGACGTCCGCTCAGGCACGCCGCCGGGAAATGGCCATTATTTAAAAACAGGCAGCGATGCCTGTTAAGCCAAAATAAAGCTCTATCTGTCCCTTAAAAATAGTATAAAATTAATTACAGTACAGCGTTGCATGACGGAATAAACGTCAGTCAAAGTATCGCAGCGCTGAATACTGAAAAATGGCCTGGCCAGGAAGGGGGTCTAAACACCTGGTCTTGAAGTGGTTAAAATGGAACTTGCGCTACAATTGACAAAAGACCGCTTATTTACCAAGCTCCACCTTCGCCATGCCAAAATGCTGCCTTACAAAAAAAAACTTGCAGTTAAAATGAATATATTTACTTTTCCCCCTCTCTTGCTTGCAGCACCTACGCAAGGGTGACATCCTTCCGGCGAGATCCCAGGGGATACTGAGTAGACCAAATCTAGCTAAAAGACAGATTTTGGCTACTCTGCATTCCTGGGATTGCCCCCAACAGTAAAGTAAACAATAAAAAAAGGTTAGAAAAAAAAAATGATTTTCGGTCTGAAAATTCCATTTGCACCACCTGTAGAAACCTAACCCTAAAAATGTCATACTTCATCTTAATTTTTCTTTTTAATTGCAGGTTATTTGATCACACTTTTTTTAATATACAGCTTAAATTTAGTAGTCTGTACAATTTTGATTTCAATAGCCTTATTGTTTAATCCTTAGTGGCTTCTTGTATTCTGCCATTGGCCTCATTCTCCCTGATATTTGTGAGTTCTATTTAGCTTAACCCCTTCGTGACTGACGACGTACAGGGGCTGTTTAAACAGACTCCCGGCGACTTTTGCCGCCGGGAGTCTGTTTAAACTTGTAAGTCTTTGAAAACATGAAAAAAAAAAATTATACAACTCGTGTAGTATGAAAATTACCACACACAGTTGTGTACTGCTAAATCATTTGGAAGCTTCATTATTTGTAATCCGTGCTTAAACTCTCGCCTTTTCAGCTTTTCACAAGCTGTATACATTTTTAACGTAGCACTTACAAATATTTGTTGCTGGGTACTATTTTTTTCTTGCTGTAGTTGTGTGCTCCTGAATATGTTGCTACTACCATTTACATTGGTTTAGGTCCTGTTCATTAACAAATACATGTCCAGAAAAACTGTAACAGACCTATTGTGAATTAAAAATGTTGTTTTATTGCAGCATATTCTCCGCAAGTTGATAATCATATCAGTTCACCCAGTTTTCTTGGGCATCCATTACCTCCCTCCCCAGGCCGATACTCTCCTGTCCCAAAAGGAATGCTTGGAGATGACGATTTAACACGGTAGGATTATTTTGTGCTCTTTAATGTAAATGTTTTGTGTTCGTGTTTTATTGCTAAATAAAGGCATGCCTAACGCCAGGCCATTATAAATAGGGAAGCAGGTTGTTTACCACGACAGTAGAAGTATTTTTTTTCTGAAGATATGGGCAAACCACATGATTTAACAGCCTTTGAACGTGGGATGATTGTTGGCGCTTGGAGCCATGGAGCGAGTATCAGCAAAACAGCAGAATTCGTTAAATGTTCAAGAGCAGCTGTTAAACAGCCTTTGAACGTGGGTTGATGGCGCTCAAGCCAGGTGAGGAATGGGGGGGAGGGGGGGGGTGTTAGGTGTGAGTAGGGATTGCTGTGCATCGCATATGATTATATTCGGAGTGCAGGCCTTACATGCAGCGACTGTCACCTGATGATTACCTTGAACAAGTGACATTTGCTGCTTGTAAACACCAGTTTAGGGATTCCTGCTGCAGGAAAATTCAAGTTCCTGATGCAGATATCCCTGATGGCACCTAAACTTATAGGTGTGAATATGGCCTTATTTTGTGTGTGTGTGTTTCTGGTTGTGGGGTGTGTGCATTTGTGTGTGTGCGCATGTATTTCTCTGTGAGAGTGAATGTGTGAATCTGTTGGTCCTCTGTGATTTAAAATTAAAACCTGTGGGGGGAAAAAAACAAACACGCACACACTGACACTGCGCACATGTATACATACTGATATGACACACACAGAATCATCAACACACATACAGACATCACTCACAAAAATCCTGACAATACACAAAAAGCATCACAAAAAATATATACTGATATTGCATACCAAGAAACCATTGCAAACACATATACTGACATTATAAACACACACAGACTGGTATCGTATATAGTTACATTTTATTTTGAAGTATGAAATTTGGCAAGCGACTCCCATGGGAGAAAAAAATTTGTCCAGTGGCCTCCCAAGTGAATGGAGTTTGAAACACCTGCTCTAAGTCTTAAATAAAGCAATGATGTCACTTACCTAGTAATACATTTCTTCCATATTTCTTTTTCTTTTTTATTCATAGTGAGCCGAGGAAAATTGTATTACATCGAGGGGCCACTGGATTAGGCTTCAACATAGTTGGAGGTGAAGATGGTGAAGGAATCTTTATTTCATTCATTCTTGCAGGAGGCCCAGCAGATTTAAGTGGAGAGCTCAGAAAAGGAGATCGTATCGTTTCTGTATGTTTGCTATGTATATATTTTTCTTCACACAGTGACATCATGTTACAGTTCTAGTGATTTAGTTTTTGAATGATGTAGTGAGGCCATGAAGTAACTGTGCAATATATTTGCACATACCACATTATATTTCATATACAGTATATACTGTATTATATATTTAACAAAAAATATTCCTGCCACAAGATGTCACTATTGTCCATTGTTTGGTTTTATCTAAGAAGGTGTGTGTATGTATGTATCATATATATATATATATATATAATATATATATATATATAGTGTGTGTATATGTACATATGTGTATATACATACATATGCTTTCTAATACTGACCTATATGATATTTTTACATTCAAATACTCCCCCTTACACATAACCACACCTTCCTTTTTATAAATTGCAATTCTGTGGAGATGGCCTATTTAAAGCCTGTGCACGCTTGGTTGGGTAGACAGAGAAATATTTTACTCATTGATTTTTAGAGCCAGAAACATGGTGGTGAACGGGACTTCAGAATGCATTAAAACTTGCCCAAGGGCAGGGGATAGCAAGGGTGTAATTCACAAATAGAAAGTAGATCAATGTGACAGGATAGCTAATATAAGGAAAAGCATACTACTTTGCTGGGTTTTTTCACATTTGAAAGTGTTGGAGAGCCACTAAATTAAAATTGTGAGATGTTTTATAAGAAAGAAAATGTAACTACATTCATTCTAAAATATGTATTTTTAAAGCATCTTCACAACTGAATATATTAGAAATTCTTGTGACACAGTGAAGAGTGTTCTTTCCAATCTAATAGCGGACCTCCTCCCATGTAATCTTGTAGAAAACTACCCACTGTGTTTTTTGTTTTCTAACATAACCAAAACATTATACATGCACAACTGAATGACACAAATATAACATATCTTTAAGCATTTGTCTTAAGTGAAACATGGGGCCACCATCGCTGATCTTCTGAAAATGTCTGATGGTGCTGTCGTTTGGGTTCAATGCTTTCAGAGTAACTTATCTGGAACAAATATATACTTTAGAAGTTCTGGCTTCAGAGAGTAGAGCTAGAGCCTGGCAAAAAGCTTCTCCAGAAGGAGTTCATCAGTGGCAGCCTATTTTTTTTCTGAATGACCTTTTTTTTTGTAAGAAGTACAAATGTATAGTGCAGAAGTTGTAAATGCAGCATGCAGTTTGAATTTTCAAATACAAATGATAAATGGTAGCTTGAATATTTCTGTTCTAACAGGTTCCTTTTAATATTAAATTCAGGTTTCGATGGGCAATGCATGCATTCCAAAAAGGAATTCTTAGTGCTTCATGTATGAAAGTTCTGCCGCGCAAATGCCATTGGCACGGCACAAGCTCCTCTAGATGGTGCCAATGAGTATAGCAAATTCCTATAATCAGCACCATCTAGGGACACTAGTGTTGTGCGAATTGCATCAGCCGGGCACAAGTTTTATATATGAAGCCTTTATTGTTTGCTGTTAAAATGTATACAACTTCATAGCAAAGTTGCTAGGTGTATTTTAGGCTTTAGTCCTGCAGTATTAAAAGGATTCAGTCAGTGCTCTTGAGGTAGAAGTAGAAGTACTTCGAGGTACACATACCTGCCACTTCTGCCATGGCTGAATCTCAATCTTTTCTTGCTCGCAAAACAGCACTTCTGATAGTTCTGAAGCCTGCCTGTCCTTACCTACTGTCTGCACATTGGTATTAGACAGTGATGTGCCCATCACAATCTTGGACCAGTAGGTATAAACAAGGATTGGACATAGCGGCTAACTTAAACATTACCTGGAAGTGTCAACGCGTTGCCTGTCAGAAGGGCTCAACATTTTATCTGTCAGGTTTGGGAGGCTGCTGCAAGTATGTGCAACTGTTGCCACACCCACCATTATAAAGTATTCACTTTTTGATGCTGGCAGACTTAAGGATCATATTAAGTTCCTGGGGTATACAAGTAAAGAATTTGATATAATATATATTTATTTAGAATGGACCGGAAATAAAAAGATTTGCTATAAGAGACATTTTAGTTAGTGGCTAAGCAGGATCCGTATAAATTTGATTTTTGTCTTGCATACCTCCTGAAAAATAGCAGTGCTGGTATGTGAGGGTGCCTTAGCACTCTTTTACCTACAGCCTCATAACTGTATATGTGCGTTTAAGGCACTTCTGCCTCTGACGGCTATTTCCAAGAGGTTTGGAGTGAGGTTTGGTATTGTCACTACTGTGCTGCTCACTGTTCTCCTTGCTGGATGGTCTGTCATGAAAAAGAAAAACCCTGTCTCTACCAAAGTTGCCTCCACAGAGAAACACAGTGGCTGTGTATGACAAACAGTACACTAGACTACTACAGTTCTTGGACAACTTCTATGACATAAAGAGCATATGTGCATTTTAAACAAGGAAATTGCCTTTGCATATTCATTCTTTTTTTTCTTAAGGTAAATGGTGTTGATCTCAGAACAGCCACTCATGAACAAGCAGCAGCAGCTTTGAAAAATGCTGGCCAAACTGTGACTATTCTTGCACAATACCGTCCTGAAGGTATGCAAGTTTGTTTTTTTCCTTCTTCCTTACATGTTTCATGTGTAATACATTGAATATTTTTAGATGGCAACTGCTTAGGGTATATGTTTCTGTGTCATAGATTTGGTCATTTAGTTAGTTACAGTTACTTTAAAGTGTGTCATTTAAAAACATATATGGCTTCATATTTACGCTCAAGTCATCAGAAATTAATGCTATACTTGTTTATATTGCAAGTCTACAAGGATCATCGTTCATTTAATTACTGTCTGCAAAATGCAGTATTTTAAATTTTAGATGCAATTTTGTTTCTGAACATAAAAGAAAAGCAGAAAAACCTGTAACATTGTTTTTCTCTTGAATAAGGGACAATTGGGTTATACTGCTGCCAAAGGAGGATTTAGACACTGGCAAACACAAAAAAATGGAGGCCAGTCTGGTTTAACCCTTCCCACACTCAGTATGCCTTAAGTTTGTTTTGCTACTGCCCTAATTGGATGGACACCTGGATCAGAGTATCCTTAGCAATAGCTTTGGAAGCTGTACACGGATCTTGCTGGAGCAAAGATTGCAGGGGCTGCCTAGGATGTAACCTTCAGGCATGGGAATCTGCTTGTGGCACTTTCATGACCTCTGTGTACTGTTTGCCGCGTAGCGCTATCCAGGTCCAGAGCCATGAAACATTCTCTGATGCAACCCAGTCTCTGAAGACTATTATTGAGTAAGCTATGTGGGCTGAGCATCGGGTGCTACTACATTTATTGGATCTGTAGAGTACCAAAATGACCCTCCTTATTTCTGTTGGTTTCCACAGAAAGGATGAACTGCAGAGCATATAAGTGCTTCATTACTAGCTGGAATGTAGTGTGCTGCCTTCTGCTGCAAAGATTCCATCTATTAAACAGTCTTCCAAATCCCTAATGGATGAATTTGTCGGCGAGGAGCTGCCAGCAGCTGCCATAACTCCCAGGCTTAAAGATACCATATGATTTCTTATTGACACAGTGCATAGCACCCTAAAAATGCGCAACATGGTGCTGTTACTAGTCTGGGATCCCTGGAAGGCCCCAAGACTATCAAAACCTTTTCGGTACACACCTTACTTGAAGGTGTTCTGTACACAGATTGGCAACCGTTTACCACAGCAGTACCCATTTGAGCAGGCCTCTATTAAAAACTGAGCCTTTTCCACTTTGGATCTTGTCTTCCGCCCTAAAGCACTGACTATACATTTAGAGGTTTCACCAGTGTTTAACCACTTCAGGCGGATGGCTGTTTTATAAACGTCCACCTACAGAAGCGGTTTTACCAAGAATAGGCTGCCATGTTCTTGGTACTGTCACTCTTAACTAAACTGATGAGCAGTAAAGCATAAAGAAAACAAACACCGAAGCATGTCAAAAATGCACTGCATTTGCATATCTGGTCCAGACATGGTGTGAACATAGCCTCAATCCTTGTGCTGCTTTTCTACAAAACTGAGTAATGCTGAGTGGAAGGGCTTATATCAGGTTAACCTATAATTATAGCCTGTTTTTGTTTTGTTTTTTTTATTTTTGTATTTGTATAAAAATACCCTTAAAAGTTTCACTTTGCAAAGTGTAAGGAATAGCTATTTTGTCACTGTAGGTTTGACCATGTAACTTAAGCTTTAACCACTTGCCATAGCAGCAATTTCTTAATTTTTGCACACATGATAAAATCTGAATATTTGGCCAGAAAAAAAAGCTTAAAACCGCCAAACGATTATATATTTTCTACAAGCAGAGGCCCTGTAGAATGCTAGTTGCAATTTTTTATATTGCACGATATTTGTGAAAACATGAATTAAACCGATATTTTTAGGATAAAATACTCTAAAATAGAATTTTATGTTCACAGAAGAAAAATATAATATCCCATTTTTTGATACATTATAATAGAGGGGGTTGTGGTCGGTGAATAGTGAGCGCCCATGAAAAAAAAAAATCCAAAATTGCCCAAAGATAGTGCTTCATTAGCAGGCTGAGAAGTGGCAGACTGAAATGGTAAGTGATGTAATACACTTCGCTTCTGGGTTCAGTCGGAGGGGAGATTCCGTAATCTGAGGGGAGATTATCTGCTAGAAGTGTGCTGATCTCCCTCCGATCGAGGTGCACAGACCTACCATGCTGGTCCCAGGCCAGCGGAGCCTGGGATGTGCACGCGCACACACACAGGCTATAGCCACCCAAACGTTTGTATGTGACAGCCTTGAGGGCTCGTTTACCCCCGTCTGCATGCTAAAACAATCCAAATTAGAGTGCAGTCTTGTGCCCATAGGATGATCTTTTGTTTTTTTAAGTTTATTCAAATGCCAGAAAATGACACATAATTTATTGCTTTGTACTGCTGTGGTGTGGAGACTAATAGAGACTTCAGGTGAGCTCTGTTTCAGTGCAAAAAGAGTTAAGCTGGCCACAGACCTTACAACCATCGCAAGACTTTTGTCTTGCGATGGTTGTAAGGTAATTTAAAAAAAGTACGATCTGCCCATCTTGGACAGGCAGATCGTACTTGCTATAATCGCAAGCCCGCACCGCTGAGGGGCGGGCTTCCGACGACCGCAATGCTGAACGGGCAGTGTGCGCTTGCGCACACCGGCCCGTGCGGCATTTATATTACAAACAGGAGCTAAAGCAGAGACACCGGCACTCCAAATTTGCAAAATACGTCTATTTATTGACGTGCATTGTGGTAAAAAACGATGCACGCCAATAAATAGACGTATTTTGCAAGTTTGGAGTGCCGGTGTCTCTGCTTTAGCTCACGATTGTTACGGCTGCCACCCGTTGACTACCGCAGCACCCAATTCTTGAAGGGATTCACGCGGTCAGGAGTGCGATGGGACCATGGACTAGCTGTATTACAAACATGCCACACACCCGCCGACAATCGTGCGATTCTCGGCGGGTTTTCGAAACATGTTCCTAAGATAAAAGTCGTGCGACCGTACAGTAGAAACAGTCGCACACCTTCCACACACCTTTTCGATAATCGTACGATCGCAGGATTTCCCGCGATTATCGTACCATTATCGCAAGGTGTGTGGGCACCTTTAGACTTTTTGCACATCTCTGCTCCACACCTCTAGACTCCATTGTGGTGTGACTGCGGCACGTAAAAACACATTGATTTCTATGAGATCTGCTGCAGAAAAGCTCAGGTCTCTGGACATTGTGTGAATGAGTCCAATCTGCTGCTGCCTTCCTCCATAGGATTCCTTAATTCATGAAATTCTCTTTTCTATATTGTGAAAGGAAGGGGAGGTCTCTCAAATATAAACACAAAGTGTTTACGTTTGTGATTGTTTGATATTGGGGATCGCAAGGCATAGGGCCATTCTAATTGGATATCTGCATTTTGCCTGTGATCCAATCTGTTTAATGACCACTCGATCACAGGCATTGTGTGCACATACGAGTAGTACACAGAGCACTGTTTTAAGACGGCACTCCAGAAATAAACATCCAATACTCTGCCGTTTATAAACATAAGGCGGTGTTCATAGCTGTGGGAGTGAAATTTGTTTTATATTGTAGGCATCTTTAGGCCCCTGTATTCTATTACTGGCAGAGCAGGATCAACACAGAGAGTCCAAATGTCACTCTTGTGTACTTGTACTTTTGTGTAAGTTCTGCCCTTGTGGGCCCTTGTTATAAAAAACAATCTGGGAGAGCATTTAAATGCCAATAGTGATATTTCTTAATTCCATTCTGTTCTTTACCAGCATTAATATTACGGGAGATGAGGGTGGCAAGATGGAGATGAAGAACCAATATGATGGGGTAGCTGGACCTGGAGCAGGGAATGGATGAGGAAAAAGAGTAATAAGAGAAAAAAGGGGCTGGTTTTTATTGGCATACCAATCCCCTATGGTCCCACGTGTTGTTCTGGGTCCCAGACCTGTCTATTAGACATCAGAATCAACATGCAAATAGCTCAAGGTGCTTTTGGTATTAAGTGGCAGATTTGCTACAGGTTTGCGTAAACCCTTGTTTTTGTCAATTTTTGTTAATTTCACTATAAATGTCGCTTTTTAAAAGCTCACTTACATGACATGTCCTTTAGATTGAGTTAAATGATGATATAGTTGTAGCATCTTTTTGTTTGTGTATGTGTGGGAAACAAATGAAAAGTTGTAGCATAACGTGTCCCTCTGGTTGCAGCCCTTCTGAAATGGCCTTACTTTAGGCACACCCCAAGTGACAATGCCTTAGCTATCTGTAGGTTTTCACTCATTGCATTGTGAGATGAGGGTTGGGGTAGTGCCAATTCTCCACTATGTGGAAATTTGAGAAAAAACATTCCCATGTACACACATACAAATGCAAACGTGTTAGGTGCGCCTATGTGCCAAAACAACAATTGTGCCACACATGTTATATATCGCCATGAACATTGGCATGAAAGCAATCATTTATTCAGTTAATTTTTAAAGCATCACCTATGAGAAATTCTTGGTACTGTAGTTTTTTGCCATCTCATGGGTACTCTCAATTTTAAGCCTTGACATGTTTGGTATCTATTTACCTGACAAAACCCCATCTTTTATTTTTTACCCAACAATTCGGTATTCAATTTGTGTGCGCTAAAATTTATTTTAATGTATTTGTTTTCTAAAAATATTGATTTGATATTTGCACAAATATCATGCAATATAAAAAAAATTGCAACTATAAATTTTTTATTCTATAGGGCATCTGCTTTCAGAAAATATATAATTATTTCGGGGCTTTAAGCTGTGTTCTATCCAAAAATACAGATTTTAACATGTGTGCAAAAATAAAAAAAATACTATGGATGAGAAGTGGTTAAAGAAAAAGGTATAAGGTGTTCGCTATCTGCTGTTTGTTTATTTTTCTCACACGTTTGCTTTAAATCTGCTGTTGATAAGACTTACAGTCCTTTGTGAAACTTAAGCTATTATGTTGCTAGTGAATCTTTTTGGTATTTAAAAGAGAACTATGGCCAAACCTTTTGTTGGCCACAGTTCTCTTTAGGGTCACAGGAAGACATTTACTAATTTCCTCCTGCTATATACTGACAGCGCACAGCCACATTGCAGCCTGGAATGTTCCCTAAAACATTGTCTGGATCCACCCCGTTACCTGATTGACAGCTGGCTCTGCCAACTCCCTCCCCCGTCTGTCCTTCCAGTCAGCGCTGGAGTAATTGAGAGCGGAGGGGGGAGTCCCTGCAGGGAGCGGTGACTTAACAGTCACCACTCTCTGCAGGGAGAAGATCGGGAATTGAGCAATCAGCGGTATGTGATCGCTCAGTTCTCGATCTATAGAGTGACGTGCGACAGTGTCACACGTTGGCTCTAATTATGGGGATGAGTGTATTTCACTCTCCCCATAATTCTCCTTTTATGTAGGAAACCTGAGTTTACCAGGGTTTTAATGTGTTGCTTATCACCAACAAAAATATAAATGCTGTTTCTTGTGCATACAGTTGTGCTCATAAGTTTACATACCCTGGCAGAATTTATGATTTCCTGGCCATTTTTCAGAGAATATGATTGATAACACGAAAACCTTTCTGTCACTCATGGGTAGTGTTTGGCTGAAGCCATTTATTATCAATCAACTGTGTTTACTCTTTTCCAATCATAATGGCAACAGAAACTACCCAAATGACCCTGATCAAAAGTTTACATACTCCAGTTCTTCATACGGTGTGTTGCCCCCTTTAACAGAAATGACAGCTTGAAGTCTTTTGTAGTATGTGTGGATGAGGCTCTTTATCTTCTCAGATGGTAAAGCTGCCCATTCTTCTTGGCAAAAAGCCTCCAGGTCCTGTAAATCCTTGGGCTGTCTTGCATGAACTGCACGTTTGAGATCTCCCCAGAGTGGCTCAATGATATTGAGGTCAGGAGACTGAGATGGCCACTCCAGAACCTTCACTTTATTCTGCTGTAGCAAATGACAGGTCGACTTGGCCTTGTGTTTAGGATCACTGTCATGTTGGAATGTCCAAGTACGTCCCATGTGCAGCTTTGATTGATAATAAATGGCTTCAGCCAAACACTACCCATGAGTGACAGGTTTTAGTGTTATCATTGATATTCTCTGAAAAATAGCCAGGAAATCATAAATTCTGCCAGGGTATGAGCACGACTGTATATAAAACTAACATTGTTGTATATGTCTTTACTACAGAATATAGTCGTTTTGAGGCTAAAATTCATGATCTAAGGGAACAGATGATGAACAGTAGTATTAGCTCTGGATCTGGCTCTCTTCGCACAAGCCAGAAACGATCCTTATATGTAAGGTAAGCATTTACAAAAATTACTGATTTGTATAGTGAATAAAATGAAGTTTGGTGAAGCCACTTTTTTCAAAAGTATTAAATTCTCATTTAAATTGTAATTGATCCCGGTCAGGACACTATCTGCAAGGAGTTTGCATGTTCTCCCTGTGCTTGCGTGGGCTTCCTCTGGGTACTCCGGTTTCCTCCCACACTCCAAAGACATGCTGGAAGGTTAATTTGCTCCTGTCTAAATTGGCCCTTGTATGTATGTGAGATAGGGACCTTAAATTGTAAGCTCCTTGAGGGCAGGGACTGATGGGAATGTACAACTGTGTAAAGCGCTGCGTAAATTGTCAGGGGCTATATAAATACCTGTAATAAATAAATTCAAATTCCAGTACTGCAATTAAAGCTTTAATTGAAGTTAAAGAAATATGTGTCAAAAAAAACATAGTTTCCCTAGTCTTGCCTCCCCTTTTCTGTTACAGCAGCCGGGCAGAGTGTCCAGTTATGAGTGTACCAGAGTCATGCTAGACTTGCATGACTCCATTTTTGGCCTTATCCTTCTGAATCGCCATGGGTGGCCCTGTTGGAGTCACCTGATTTGACAAACGTCAATTACGATATCAACGGAGGCAGGTAGAAAATTGTCAGCCGAACAGTGACTGCATCCCATCAGATGCAGTAGCTGTTCTGGTATTCAGGCAGCCATGCGTTCTGGCTGTCTGAATACAATATTCGACAGGGAAGACTCCTCCATCCATGCTGTTAAACTGACTAACAAAAAATAAAACATTTACTGGCACCACATCTTTTACCGTCAACCTAGTAGCGCATTATCGATGCGTCCAGGGAGAGTGATGATTCCTAACCGCATGCAATTGTATCCCATATGAGAACACGCGGTGTCCTGGCGTTTGAATGCAGTGGCTGACACCCGATCCTTAACTTAAACGGGTGATAGCTGCAGCTTGTGAATGCAGATTAGGGATTCCTGCTGCAGGACATCGTACGGTCCTGGCACAGGAATCCCTAATCGCACCTAAAGATACAGGTGTGAATCTTAATTGTATAGTACAGATTACAGGGACAGTCTAACTAGTGGTTATATGCAGCTACCTTCAGGTGATTGGATACTGGCAGAAAAAAAAAATTCTGCAGGGACACTCCCTATATGATCACTCCCACTTCCAGCAAGTGTCTGGTTTTTGTTAGTGTCCTTAGACGATAGACATCTTCTGCGCTCCTGAGAAACTTCCCTCTTCTGTGGTGTTTTTCCTTTCTCTGAAGATTCTTCTTTCAAGTTTTTAGCTGCTTCATAGCCGCTACGGTTTCCCTTTTGCAGCTTCCTGGATCAGTTTACTCTTTAACTGAGCGTTGGGAGATTGCATCCCGGCCCTAAAAAGGTGCGGGCCTGGCATGCAATGTTGCTTTGGGCACTGGATCCTGCTGTAGGCACTCATCATAGCATGTAGTGCAAAGCATTGAGTTAACCACAGGGTGCTGTCCAGGGCCGTGGTCAGCCCTGTGCCTGAAGAACCTTAGGGGTTTACCCACTGGGATGGTGAAAACTGTCTGGATTGGCTTTCTACCTGCATTCACACATTTTCAGTTCTGCAGTCAGTCCACAGCAAGAGCCGCTCGGAGCACCTCACTGGCTCGATGGAAACTGGGTGAACTGCACACAAGGTCGATGGAAACTGGGTGAACTGCGTGCTAAAGTTCCTCTCAGAACCGGCCCTATCTGTCTAGTGCCCCCTTCATTTGGTAGCCCCTGTCCTCCTGTGGGCACCATTGATGCCTACAAGTATGTCCCCATTTTTTGTTTAACAAATAGGTGATCAGTGTATTCACTGGTCACCTCTGAACTCCCCCTTATCCACTGGTCACCTCTAAACTCCCCCTTATCCACTGGTCACCTCTAAACTCCCCTTATCCACTGGTCACCTCTAAACTCCCCTTATCCACTGGTCACCTCTAAATCCCCCTTATCCACTGGTCACCTCTGAACTCCCCCTTATCCACTGGTCACTTCAGCACCCCTGGTCCTCTGAACCTCCCTCCATCCACGGGTCACCTCTGAAAGCCCCCTCCATCCAATGGTCACCCCTGCACCCCCTCCATCCAATGGTCACCCCTGCACCCCCTCCATCCACTGGTAACCTCTGAACTCGGAATTGATATAAATAAATAAATTGCAGTGGGGGCATGGCGATGGGGAGCTTTAAGAGTGCTAGCAATAATTTTGAGGGTGCTATCCAATGCACTCACCTGGCGCTGCCACTGTTGTACAGAAGACATGCCTATCTAGGCTAATTCACACTGAATGTGAACAGTAGAAGACTGTAAACCAGATGGTGTGTTTGCAGTCCAGATCCAGGCACTATGCTGAGCTACCCTACTGTACACTGAGTGACCAGATTATTATGACCACCTGACGTTGTAGGCAAATTAGCTATAATTATCTATAATTATGCGCTGAAGTTGCTAGAGGGCCAGACCATTATAAATAGGGAAGCACGTTGTTTACCACGACAGTAGAAGTGATTTTTATCTGAAGATATGGGCAAACAACGCGATGAACGTGGGGTGATTGTGCTCGGAGCCATGGAGCGAGTATCGGCAAAACAGCAGAATTTGTTAAATGTTCAAGAGCAGCTGTTGTTAGTGTTTAAAGACTGGACTGTCAGCCGAAAATCTGGGTCTGAACGTGCAAATTGTGGCCGTCAGCGACTAGTCAATGTTAGGGCAGAACGGAAAAAGACAACAGAAGGGCAACAGTGCAGTGTCAGATTCCTCGCATCACCTTTCAACATATCGCGGAGTCACGAGGCGGCCCAACAAAGTAATCTCGTGGAGTTATCTCGTGGCCTAACTAAGTACTGATGGTGTGGTCATAATAATCTGGCCACTCCGTGTACATCATAACATAATACAGCACACATTATCGCCTAATGTAATAAAGACAGCAAATTAGTAGTACTCTGAGTAACATTTCATTTACACAGAGCTGCACAGCAGCATGCAGAACTATGGGATCACTTTTTTTTCTCCCCCATAGCTCCCTTTAGGTTCATGGGAGGACATATACTAACATCCTCCTATGACCCAAAACTCAGTATATAAGCGGGCTGTAGTCGGGATCCACCCCCACTGGCTGATTGACTGCGGGCTCTGCCTGTCTAGAGGCAGAGCCAGCTATGCCCTCCTCCATTTGTTCCTCCATTCCGCGCTGGGGGTGCGGAATACATGTGGGGAGCGGTGACTGACGGTCACCGCTCTCTGCAGGGAAATTATCGGGAAGTGAGCGGACAACATACGTTTTCATAGGTTGGCTCTACCTATGGGGTTGAGTGTAATTAAAATAAACATTTTGAAAATAAATAAACACTTGAAATGTCGAGCAGGATAAATGGCAGGACTGCCTTCATTTTTTGTGTCTGATACAGATTATGAGAATAATGCAACAAAAATTATCCCAAAGCTTATTTTTTTTAACAGTCAACATCAGTGTGTTGAGGTTTAACATGTAAAGTTAGGATCTAAAATTAAATATTTTGTTTCCCTTATTGAAACCTAAAAAGCTTTAGTCCTTCTTCTTTTTTTTTTTTTTTAATCTGAATGTGTTTATCAGATCTTAGGCCTCATCTTTAAACAGTGCTGGTGGCAATATAGATGCTTGTATAATTTCAAAGTTTCATGTCCTTGGTATGTTGGGTGAGACATAGGCTTCCTGTTTGAAATTTTACCATGGGGATTTATTCAGAGCCACAGGCACTGTCACAGAGAAGATTCTTTTGGGGCAAATAAAGATATTAAATATGTGCGTATGCTATTACTAATTTGGTAAATGTTTATCTGCCAAAAAAACTTGCTACAGTATTTCTGCCTAACTGACTTGTTTTTTCCGCATATTTTTCAAAGTACAAGTGTATAGAAAGTAATAAACCTTGGCTTTCTAAATTGCAGTTCCCAGCTTTGCCAGCTGTTCACTTAGCATATCCATAGTAGTTAATGCATTATAAGCAAATGCTATGAAAGCAGAAGTCATATTAAACATTCATGCCATCTACCCCAATGCAGTTTAATTGGTCTAGCAAAAACATTTTCAAACCTCATGCGTTGTTTTCCTATAACCTTGAGTGAATCTCCTGAAAAAATACTGAATGCTGTAGTTTTTTTAGGTTGCCCATCAGTATAAGAATTTAATTATGCTCACATGAAATAACAGCAATAAAGTAACATTATAATTTGTTTAGGCATTAAAAATAAACAAATGGGTTATACAATTATGGGTATGCCACTAGGGAAGTCAGAAATGGAGAAGGATTTGGGGGACAGCTAAAAGTATTTGTGCAGTGTTGCACAGCATGCGCAGTGTGAGTAGAAGAAATAAGGCATCCTGTAATTATTCTGAACAGGCAACATATGATATATAGGGGGTGATTTACTAACCTAAACACACGCACGCACTAGGTGCGTGTGATTTTTACACAGCAAAACGTATAGGTCCTTTCTAGGTCTGGACTAATAGTGCAGTCCTCATTCAGAATCAAATTAATGTGTGTATTTTCCACAGTGGTGGAGTAGATTTATGTACCTTTTTTACTTTCCAGTTTTTCTTCTTGAGGCAAACTAAACATATGCTACATATTGCTTTATGTTGTGTTAGTCACTCTTTGTGGTATGCCCATTACAAGGTGCATCAAGCAACTTATTTAAAGGTGGGAAGTGATAGTTGCACGCTTGTCATGCATGGTGAAAAACGATCACTGATAGTGGCGGGTGGTTTGCATGATAATATTGGAAACTGATGTGCTGCAGGACCTCCAGTATGTCAGAAACATTTTGCAAACAAATATGCTTATAAACCAAAGGTGAACAGAGAAGTTCTCCTAGACCAGCGGTTTTCAACCTGTGGGTCGCGACCCATTGTTGAGTGGGTCGCCGCGTCCATTTCTGCTGCGCTGGGCGAGAGCCTCCTCAGCCTCCTGCTTGCACAGCAGTGTCAGTCAACGGGAGGACAGCAACTGCTGTGAATATAAAAGTGCCGCTATACACACTCCCTGGCCGCTGCAGCGACATTTAGTAGCCGGGGAGTGTGTACAGCAGCACTTTTCTTATTCACAGCCGTTGCTGTCCTCCTGCCTCCCATACAGTGTGGGCTCTGCAGGAGGCGGGCATCTTAGCAATGCTGGGGCTGAGAAGGCTGTATGGAGACAGAGCAGGCAAGTAGGTAGCAGGGGCTGGGGAGGTCTTGCATTCTTGTGAATGTGCTTCTATTTTTATTCCAGTGTCCAGTGCCTTACTAAGTCACGAGTCCAGTGCTCTGTTGGGGGTCACCACAACTTGGCAAATGTTACAAAGGGGTCCCTGCCCTAGAAAGGTTGAGAACCACTGTCCTACACCGTAATAGAGGATTATACAGTGTTCAATAAAAGAGTCTGCATGTCATAGGGATAAGGCATTTTATAGGTATGTCTCCTAGTGTATATGTTTATTTTATTTAAAGCCAAACACCAGGCACATTGTTTATTAGGTTTGTAAAAGCCTTTAATCATTTCTAAACCTCTATAACCATTAAGGTTTTTTTAAAAATTGAATAATCAATGTGTCTGGAGTTTGGCTTTAAAATGCGCAAGCTTCATTTAGTTTTTAGAAACATAAAGATTGCAACGGATTAAATGTTTCTTAGACACCAGAATAAAGGCAGTGGCATCATATTACTGTTGCTTCAGTAGGTCTCAGAAATCGCCATTATTCCCTCCACTTGTTACAAATGTGCTTGTTTCTAAGAGTTATACCTTATTGTGAGAGTGAGAGTTTTCCTTATCCTATAAGTATGAGTCATACTTTTCCTTTTGTTAATGAGATTTCTATTTATTATTTAGAGCACTATTTGATTATGACAAGACTAAAGACAGCGGCCTTCCCAGCCAAGGACTTAATTTCAAGTTTGGTGATATTCTGCATGTAGTAAATGCTTCTGATGATGAATGGTGGCAGGCACGGCAAGTCACTGCAGATGGGGAGAGTGAGGAGATTGGCGTCATTCCTAGCAAGCGCAGGTACAACACTTAAAGCAGAGTTTGGGCTTCTTTGTTTTTCCTGTCCACTCAGATATTCTTCTCTTAGAGTACATTAAGTAATTCCTTTGTGCATATAAGAGCCTGAAGTAAAGTTTTTTTCTGAATTAAGTGCTTGGCATCAGAACAGCTAGATTGTTAATTTCTGTTTGTTTTTTCCCCAATATTTTTATTTGATATTTTAGCAAATAACGTTTTATGTACGATAGTTGCCTTCATTCTCACTTCAAGTGTATGTAAACAACAACAATGAGCCTCTCCACTTACTGTATTTGCTCCTTTTTGGTCTGGTAAATTTAAAAACATTTTGTTATATATGTTAAGTGCAAAAAAAAACCCTAATAATCATGCCAGAAATTCAGAGCTGTCCTGTGTTCTGTTCACACTTCCTGTGAGTCTTCCCAGTTTTTTTTTTTCTTGCATTACAGAACAATTAGTCCCCATGCTGTGTAAATTTGAGGGAATCATTACTTAGACAGGCAGGGCTAATACAAGTTTTGCGATTTCAGTACATAAGGCATGTGGTGTAAATCCCCAAGAGAAAAAATAACATGGCGAAACTGGGGCATATATAGCAGAGATGTACTGAATATCCTTTTTCTTGTTTTTAAAAGTTCATCAATAAAGTTTATTGTAAATGTGATATGAAGATGTATTAGGGCTTCCTTTTCTTTAATCAGTAAGGAGAAGTCCGTTGTCAGTATGCTGATTATATTCCAATCCAGTATCTGGGCAAAGTGAGCATATAATGAACAAAATACATAAGTAAGAGGACACATTCAGTAAAACCACATGTTAAAATAAATAGAAATGCTATATAGTGATTGGCTGCTAGGCCCAAACAGTCACATGCGATTAGGTCACATGCTCCCCAAAATTCCTGAAGTACCAGGTATTTGCCATTTTAACAAAGGAAGGAACAGCTAGGTAGCACTAGTAAGGTGAGTACAACTTGTGCAGGAGGGCTCTTTACAAAGACACTGTCATTGTTCCCTGGATGTTAAAGGGGACAGGGTCTTTTTACAAAATCCATCGTTGAACTCCAGTCCAATGACTGCTTTAGTTTCCTCTCCCTTAGTGATTAGACAACTTTGAAACTTTGTAGCAAGTCCCAAAGGCGAGAGGCTTCAACAGTAAGTTGATCTGTGTCAAACATTTGTCAACACAGCCAAGTACTGCAGAGGCAGGAGGACTTGCATGACCGTCATCTCTGGCATTTCAGGAAGTAGATGCTGATCCTCGATGGTGCCCGAAGAAAGTTGGCTCTGTCCTTCTGGAGAGAAAGACAGATAAAGGCATTGTTAGGGGATGTACTCTGTCTTTGTATTACCTTCTTATAAAGCCCATGGTGTCCATCATTGAAATAAAACTGAAATATTTACACAAAGCTATGTTTATAATTTTACTGGACTGTACAGTGCAAAATTCAAAACACAATAATTTTTTTTGTTACATATAGGGTTGAGAAAAAAGAAAGGGCCAGACTAAAGACTGTGAAGTTCAATTCAAAAGCAAGGGGAGATAAAGGAGTGAGTACTTATATTTGACATGAAAATAGTGCATGAACTATTTCTTATTTATCTCTCTGGCAAACTGTGCATGCCTTTGTTTTAAACTTGTGTGCCTCATTTTTTTGTCATATGCAAAGCCTTTTTGGTAGAAGATTTTAGTCATTAATATGTGCATTTAAAGATATACTGCCAGCTTCAGGAGATTGGACACTGGCAAAGCAGAGCTGAAAGGACAGCCCAATATAACCACTCCCAGCAAACTTTATTTTATTTTTACTAGTGTCCTTAGGAGAACAGATGTCTTCGCTTAGCCCTGAGAGAAGCAAAACATTTTTCCCTTTCCTTTTGGATCCTTTTTTTTTTTTGTCTCCCAAGATTTGTCTTTTAGAAAGTTATCTTTAACTAGCTGCAGAGCTTCTAGGGCTCCTCCTTGCAGCTTCTGGATCAGTTACTTCTTGGCTTGGCTTCTTGGATGAAGACGTAGGGCTGGCCTGTAATGTAGCCGTCTGGACACTGGATCTTATGTCATGCGCTCATCTAGCCACGTAGTGCATTGCATTGAGTTAGCCAAAGGGTGCTATACAGGTCCAGGTGCTGTGGTTCTACTGCCTGTTGTAACCCTGTCTCTGAAAACTCCATAGGCAGTATGCCCACCAGGAGGGTAACGATCATCGATGGGTTTATTACCTGACATCCTAGGGGTTGGGGAACTGCAAGGCAAACACCACAGCTGCAGTTTCGCTTTCTGCAAGCCTAGGTGTGCTGTGCTCTTCATTTCCTAGAGCGTAACATGCAGAACACTGGCTGCAACTTGTTCTGCCACAAGCAGGACTATAGTCTGAAGTATTTTTTAAATATGGAACCATTTTTACTTTTTTTCCTGCCGTGTTATCGGCCCGAGGCATCTGAGTCTGCGCAGCCTCCTTTTGGTCTGAGTGTACTGTGCATGATATTTAACAGCTCACATGCAGACCTGGCTCCATTCCTTCCTGTCTCTCTCCAGTAAAATACACCACAGTGATCCTCTGAGACTTGGGCTCCTGCTGTCTACAGTGAAGGTTACAAATGACTTAACCCCTCCTACTCTACCGTGGAAGGTTGAGTACCCCTGGTGGGTTTCCTATGGTGAATCATAAGTACAAAGGGTGGGTGTACCCACGAGCCCTGCTAGCCTACACTCGGCTACACCCTGTTAGCCTACAGAATGTTCCATTATAAAAGGATCCTGTGGATTAATGGCTGGAAACCTTTTCCAATGCTTTTTTCTTCCTTGCAGGCCCTACTATGTAACCTGCCATTGTAACCATGTCTGTCAGACCCTAGCGGGTCTGGTCCAAGACCGTGGATCGAGACCTTGGATCCATTCTCACTGATCCCTCAATTCTCTAAGTGGAGCTCTTGTCCCGGTGCTATTGTGTCAAGGAGCTAGCGAATACACTTTTGCCAGGTGATCAGGATTGGTTTGATTTCAATGCATATGACAAGGATTCTTTTGTATGCTTTCTTCCACGCAGACAATGCCTCGTGTTAATGCCCTTTGCAGGGGATAAACATTTTTTGGCAAATCAACAGACACCTATATCAAGGAAGTCGTGGGGGGGAAAGAGTACCCTTCTCCCCCCGAAAATGCAGGCAGAATTTCCAGCAGGTAAACCTGCTTCTGAGACTAAAAAGAGTCCCTTTTTGTTTCTCTCGGGCATCTGGGATCAGGTTCAAGCCTAGAACTCTGTTCCGCCATAAGATCTGGACCCCCAAACTCACCAAATCTACTGTCAAGACCTCCTCTCAATGAGGGGATGCCCTGACCTGTCAGAGTGGGGGCACACATGTTGGCCTTTGTGGCCAACTTCTCCCCAGATATCTCACCCAGTATTTTGGGTCCAGAATATCATATACAGGGCCTACAAACAATGAATTCTGTTCTCTGCTTCCACGCCGCTTCATGCTGTCAAATTTGTCAACATCTCTGCCAAGGCAGCAGAGCAGCTTGCTCTCAAGGAGTCATGTATGTTGTCCAATTGGAAGAAAGGTTCCAGGGTTTCTATTCAAACCTGTCCACACTACCCAAAGCAAATAGAGGCATTGGCGCCATACTACATCTAAAAATTCTCAACAGATTACTTGAGTTTCAGTCAGTGCTTCCATTTACCTAGGAGATTTTCTGGCCTTTGTGGACCTGAAAGGTGCTTACTTGCACATCCCCATCTTTCCGGCACATAAGCGCTACCTGTGTTTTGCTGTGGCTACTTAACATTACCAATTTTGTTACTCTTGGCCTGTCTACAGCACCTCTGGTCTTTACCAAGGTGCTAGCTACTGTTCTTGCTCCGCTTTGCTCTCGGGGTGTTCTTATCGTGCGATATCTGGATTATCTCCTGCTGAGGGAACAGTTGGCTCAAGCTCTGACAGCCAATGGACAGTGCAGGCCCTTCAGAAATTTGGTTTGATCCTAAATATCCATACTGAATGTGATTCATCTGGTTTCCCTTCGAACAACTTCATACTCTCTGCTCCCTTGTTGAGACTCTGCAGTCCAGAAGTAGCCCAACCATTCGCTTTTGCATTAGTGGTTCTGGTCCTAATGGTAGCCTCCTTAGAGGGAGTGCCATATGCTCAGTCTGGCTCCAGGCCTTTGCATGTCAATATTTTGGCAGTGTGGGACAAGCAGATTCACTCCCTGGATCACCACATGTGCATGTCCAGCAAGACCAAGCTTGCAAAGGAGTGGGAGGGGTTATATGGTGCTGCCTTGAAGCTTTACTTTGCACGTGTCACAATCCCCTGAAGGTGGGTTGCATAACCCATCCTGTGTCCTGTAATATACTCCCAAGAAAAGGATTGTCAGGTAACCTAAAAATCCTATTCTGGCCGTAGGGCAAGGGGCATATTGCATGTGCCTAGTGTACATGATATAGGAGCATATAACCTTTAAAATGAGAAAGTGTAGATCATAACCCATGTAAAGTGCATTACAATATGAAATACCTAAACTTAGCTGCTATTTTTTCCCCAAATAATATTTAATTAATTGTTTCCCAATGTTAAATGTAATGTTAATTGGAAATCTACTGTGATCCTGCTTTTTATATTTTAGTGATGTTGTTTTGTAGTCATTTATCATAAAAACTATGTAGTGTGTAGATTTTTGATTAGGTGTAAGTAAAAATACTAATTTATGTAAAAATTAATCTTAAAGGATAATGCTCCCAACAACTAGAATTGTTTAAATAAGCTTTTTCTGTTGTCCTGAGCATGCTGTGTGTATCCAGCAATCGGCAGTAGCAGGTGTCACTGCTTCTACAGAGGCAATAATGCTGTTAAATTAACTTGAATTAAACAAAGCTTTGTTCACCTTAGCATGAGTTTCTAAAGCTGGCCATACACCTTACAACCATCGCACAACTTCCGTTGTGCGATGGTTGTAAGGTAATTAAAATTTTGTACGATCTGCCCTTCTTGGACAGGCAGATCGTACTTGCGATCATCAGAAGCCCTCCCCGTCGAGGGGAGTGCTTCCGATGATTGCAGTTTTGAGCGGGCAGTGTGCGGTTGCGCCTACCTGCCCGTGCAGCATTCGTCTCCCAAGCACGCCACTGACCCGCCGAAATCGTGCGATTTTAGGCAGGCTTTCAAGTGTGCTCGGAAGACTAATGTCGTGCGACCTTACAGTAGGAGAGGTCGCACGCTGCCCATACACCTGCCGATTATCGTACGTAATCGGCAGTTGTATGGGCACCTTAAGGCTTGCATCTTTAAAAACTAAAGTTAATCAAAAAAAGGGGTATGACTTAAACACCAAACTTTCTGTATTGATTTATGTTTAGCATGTTGCACTCTACTATTACTGCATAAATAGAAATAACCCAGCATCACTTAACAGTTGAGAATTGTGGGAAATTGACTCAAACCTATCACTTTTTTCCCCAGTATAAGACTACAATGGTTTTTCTTTCAGTTTAATTCTTTTAAAGAATCTTTATACGTTTTTAATTTCCAATTTATATTCTAAAGCAGTTGTAACATCTGTGCAGTAAATCTATTGGTCATTTCATTGTAAAAACATTCCAATAAATACTAAAACATTGTGACACGCTAGCTGATGATGCTTTATTGTTTTATAAACAATATCACTGTTTTTTTGTTTTCATTGAAACTTTCAGTAAATGATAGTCTATTGTGCGTTCTTAAAGTGTTACTTGACAGCATGCTATATGTGACTGCAGACTATTTAACTAAATTAACTGAGTGATGTCCTTGTTCTTTGAATGTATAACAGTTTGTACACACACTGTGTACTAACACTGCTCCCCAAAATGCATGAAATGAGTTGAAACATACGCTTGCCATTGATATTGAACTGCAATTTCTGTGATATTGTTCCCTCTTTTCCTCCTCCTTTTGTTTTGTCCCTCAATTTCAAATAATCATATTTAGAACCTAGGCCTAATAGTGAAACAAGTTGATAAAATAAGCTGGGGGTGGAACTTTGATAGCTATTTTATAATGCCACCTACATTTCTTGAAATGTAGTGTATACTATTTCTGCAAAATTCAAAGATTTCCCAAACATAGGAGATATAATACCAGTCTTCTCAATGAACTCTGGTCGCAAGAATATAATGGACATCCATTATTCAATGGAAGCGACAAACCGCATCACTGGTGTAATTGGTAAATGTGCTAAAACTATTTAACAGACTAAATTTCTAGCATTTCTATGCTTTATATTGCCTACATCTGAGGGAATTATCCTCAGATGTGATCTATGATACTTGTCCTAATGGTACTTGGTGAATGCATCTTACTTTGTATTGGCTTTTGAGTGGTCTGCTGGCCTTATTCTTCTTCTGGGGAAATAGAAATTGAGTAATGAGGCTTATTTAATAAGTTAATGGAAAAGGTGCAATTACTCGCCCCAACCAGTCTGTACCTGATACAACTTCAGTATTGTAATTCCTACTTAACTTCTAAATCTAAAGTGTTAATAATGATCCTTTTCCTATTTTAGGATCCATGCTAGTAGTCACCTATTCTTCATTTGAGTTAGGTGTGAACTTAATTTTAAAGGGAAACTATCGTAGGTTAGTTTAATTTGTTTCAAGATTTTACATTTATACACTTATTTTTTAATGTATTTTTTTCAAATGTTTGTATAAAACCTTTTTTTTCTCTCTCTAAATAAACATTTAGCACAGGGTATAAATATGATATTGATGGTACAGAGCATTTTGGTTTTTCTAAAGAGATATCAAAGTAGCAGCTGTTTGTACAAAACCCACCCAAAAAGTGACTGGTCAGTTAGTATGCCTTGAGTTTTGGCTTTTGTGAAGGCAGATGGTCTCTTTTGCTATGCATATGCTTTTATTCTAAATCCAACTGACTTTGCAATCGATAGATTTGGTTGCTTTGCGCTACAGTACATATTCTGTTAATACGTTAAATAAGCCTCTGTCTTACTATAAAATATTTTCTAATTTGCACACATTTGTTGAGCAAATACATTAGAAATAGAATATCCCTCTTATAAATATTAACCTTGATGTGCAAAAGAGCACCCAGGTAGCATTGTTTAAAGTAAATACACATTTGCTTGTGCCTATGGCCCTCCTTTTCCCTTCTCTTACTTTTTTTTTTGTTTTAAATCGTTTCCTTTTCTTTCTGTTCCTGGAATGCCATATGTGGTGAAGATTAATATTACTAACCCATTTTAGAACTGGCCATTTCATTATATTCATTTTTGGCTTCTTGTGTTCTGTTTGTTTCTGTTGATGGAGAGGCCATATGTCATGACATGTAGTTTAAAATGAAGTGGTCTTTACCAGTAAAACAATCTATAATGCTTGTAGGTTACTTTGCCACAACGAGCCTGACATACACCAAAGAAAGTTATAAACTTTTCATATGAACAAAAAGTATGTCGACGTTAACTGGATGCCCCTGTGCAAATTATTCTATAAGCACAGATCCGGGCAAATGTAAACGGCTACACAGGAGAAAACTGCATTACTGAAAAACCTTTTAAAGACTGATGAAAAGCATATTGCTTTGTGATCAGATGATGCACATTAGAGGTACATTCTACTACAAACTAGCCAACAGACTAGCTTGGATACTAGAAATAGCTGTGCAAGGAGCATGCAAGGTATCAAAATATAATGGGGGGAATTTATCAAAACTGGAGCAGAAGAATCTGGAGCAGTTGCCTATGGCAACCAATCGGCTTCTCTCCAGTTTGTTCAGTTTAAGGTTTGAAAATGAAAGGTGGATGCTGATTGGTTGCCATGGGCAACTGCTCCAGATTCTGTCTGCTCCGGTGTTAATAAATTCCCCTCAATGTATTCACAGTGATATAAAAAAAGGACCCCCACAAGCAACCTTCCACACAAACCCAGAATATTGGGTAAATGCAACAAAACAAAAAGTAGATTTAAGCTGAGCTTCAGGTAAGCTGCTAAATGCAGTATGTGGATAAAATCATATAAGCTGTCTTGCTTATAAAGAGTCCTGCTGTGCAGGGTATTATAGCAGGCAAAAAATAATGATAACCTCTTGTACTAGCCTTTTGTGGAAAAAGCATCTGGTCTAAATGGTAGTATTTTATATCCAAATGGCATCCACCGATTTAAGTTAAGACATGATTGAAGAGATTCACATTGACTCTATACCAATTAGTGACAAAGTAATTTTTGCCCAAATATGTGGCAGAAATGGCTAAACTCAAACTGTAGTTAATGACATATAGAATTACATTTTTTTTTTGTAAGAAATTGGATTTGAAAAGAGATCACCACAAAAATAACTTGCACAGTCTATTTTTCTTTGGAGGAAGCATAGGGGCTCGCAATTTAGCAAGTAACAAAACCTTTGGCACATGGCTGCTGAAGACTAGAGTTCCCAACTACTTAAGCTCGCTGGTGAGCCCAGTATAGATCACCTATCTTGTCACATTAAACCTATATTGCATTAGCCTGATTATTTGGCATGTTACTGTAAGTCTGGTTACTGCTTGTTGTTCTTTGTAATAATCTTTATATTATGATTTTTCAAAACATTCTTGAACTTGAAGCTATAAATTTGCGGTTCACGAACATTCATTCATAGCTCACATTAAGTAATTATCTACACAAAGGTCAATAAATTATCACTATCCAAAAGATCTTTTAAACCCATATATTATCCACAAAATGTATCAGCATTAAAGCTGTTTGCATCTAATGAACAGTAACCATGGAGATTGTATAGGTTTGATAATGCTGACAGTAAATCTTTTCACTGTGAAGTTTAGGAAACCAATATTGTCAACAGTGCTCATGTAATTGAGCAATATCATTTTTATATTTTTTGTTTTCTTGGATAACTGGTGCACATTCAAATTGCTTTACCAAATGCACTGGTACCCAGCATTACAGATTGTTTAATCAGCATTTATTTGCTGTTGGAATCCCTTGCATTTTAGGCTGCATGTTGTTGAAACTCTGGTCAGCTTCCACAGTTCTGCTAGGGCGGGGCATTTGTACACACAGACATTAGACATCCTTTGTTTTGCCCCTTCCTTTTCTTCTTCAGCAGTCATTCAATGACAAGCGTAAAAAGAACCTCTTTTCCCGAAAATTCCCATTTTACAAGAACAAGGACCAGAGTGAAATGGAAACCAGTGATGTTGAGCGTAAGTATGTGGAATAAAATGGCAAGCTCTAGAGAGGTCTGCTAGTTTGCAGTAGGGTGTTACAAATAAGGCATTTTCAAAAACAGTAACTGGTTTTAAATGTATATATTTAGCAGTGTATAGGACTTGCAGAAAATATGGCCCTAGATTGCAGTGGCTACATATCAGTGGAAGAAAGTAACTGCTAGTTCCTTTGATAAAGCCGGAATTATGTCATCAAGTAATAATGCTTTTCATATTTCACATTCTGTAGCCAATGGCTTAATTCCTTTTTGAGTAGGCCCTCAAAATATTTTTGCATACCTCTGAGTTTTGGACCTTTTCCTGTGCTTGGAAATGCCTTTTCCCGTGGCGCCGTTTCTGGATATTTTACTGACAAGTGTTTTCTCTGTGATTATTTCTTTGTTTTTGCTTGCTCTCTGGGACTACAGGAGATCCCTGACGACATGGGATCAAAAGGCCTGAGTAAGTGACAGAAAAAACACCACCTGAATTACCAGTTTATTGTATTGATTTTTTATCTCTGAAGATGGGGTTTCTTGCATCTCTGTTCAAAGCAATTGTCAGTGAACTGAAAATCAATGTAAATGAATGTGCATTGTGTTAAAAAAGAAAAACAAAACACTGCAGCTATGTTAAAAAGTAAAATATCTCTCTCTGCCTTTATGAACAGCCTAAACCACTCTATAGTTTGTGCAGCATCCAGTTTGTGTCTCATACTGGTAAACAAAAATCATTCAGAGGCAGTAATCATTTGCTGGCTTGTCTGCCCCTAGCTATAAATTGCCAGTTGACAGTGCATTTGTGCATAGTAAATCTACTGTGTTGCTTCTTTGTATAAATGTGTATGGCTAATCAACTGTTAAGGTATCCTGTCATGGTAGAAATATAGAAGCTGCCATTGCTGTCTTGTGCTCGCAACAGCAAGCTCCAGCTTTTCTGGTTGCTGCAATACTCATTGCGGTCAGTGAATGATAAGGTAGTAAAGTAAGAATAAGGATCACATTGGTTTGCGTATTTAAAGAAAAAAAAGATTACAACAGTAGTTTCCATTTTTCTATACATGTAGCAGGTGAAGATCACCAGCACTCCGGTAGTAGCATTAATGTTTGTGCTTATTTATTAAAGTGAAACGTCACAAACATCATATAGACAATGTTTCAGGACCAGGCAAGGACCCTTCATCAGGGCAACATAGTGACTACCAATGCTACTGCTGGAGTGCTGGTGATCTTCATCCTCTAAAAGTTTGATGCACACAGAGCCATCCGTGATTATCACTGTGAGCACCACAGTTGTTCAGGTCCAATGGCTGTAAGGAGTGCAGGGGACACATCTATATACTACATTTTTCTATACAGACATGTTATCTTTAAATTGAAGCAATCATCAAAACTTATCAGTGGAATATCCGGGCATCACATGTGCAAAGCTATGTTATTTTCGCAATCTTCATTTTCTTCATGACGCTCCACTTTCATATCTACCACTCCATGAAAACGTGTGATATTCCTATTGATTTGAGCAGGATAAATTCACTGAAAGATGTAGTATCAGCACTGAGAGACCAAAATATATTTTGGGTTTTGTGTGGAGTGCCTTCAGGGACTTCAATCCACATTTACCAAAGTCATGTAAGTTACCTTATATTGTCACACTAGAGCCTCCGTTCTAATATAGCAACTTACAATTGTTGCTCTAATATTTATCACAAGGCTTTCACAAGTTTCTTTTGAATATGTAAATACAATATGTATATGAATTCAAAAGCTATTAGGTGTTCTAGAAAAATTAGAATAACACCTGCATATGTTTGATTGTGTCCTTGTTATCTCCTGGTTTCACTTACTTTCAGTAGTATTTGTACGTAACACCAATGTTAATAGCTCAATAAAAAGCACATAAAGAGTGACTTACTATTCTGTTATACATTTAAAACTGTAATATGTGTCTTTCCAGGACAGCACATGAGAGCGAGCACAGGAAACACCTCACCAAATCTTAAAAGGAAGTCCTTCTGCTGATCTGGTCATTTAGTTGTGTTTCTTCCTTTTGGACAGAAAGATTCTACTGGAACTCTGGATGGGGGAGGCAGGCTCCCTTTTGAGCTGTTGCCTTCCACCTTTCTTTTCCCTGGGCTCCTTACCTCCATGTGGGAGGCTGGAGTTTAGCCTTTTACCTAACAGCTTTGAATTCTATGGTTTTACATATCGGGACATAAAAAAAAATCATCTGGTCCTTAGCAGGTCTTAGAATTGGGTAAATACAACCTCAGATGAACAACAACACGTGACATATTACACAGTGTCATTATTTTACAAACATAAAGCCAAAATGGAGAAGCCATGTGTGAAAAACTAAGTACACCTTATGAAACCACCTTTTAGCAGCAATAACTTCACATCGTTTTCTGTGTGACTTTTTCAGTCTCTCACATTGTTGTGGAGGAGTTTTGGCCCACTCTTCTTTACAACATTGGTTTAGTTAATGGATGTTTAAGTGCATTTGTTTATGCACAGCTTTCTTAACCCCTTCATGACTGAGCTAGTTTTCAGGTTCTGTTCATAAATGACTGACACATTTTTTACATTTTTGCTGTGTGATTCTTCCACAGCAGTAATATACTTTCTTACTAAATGTACCCACACATATTATATATAGTTTTTTAGAGGACAGATAGGGCTATATAATTATATCACATATGTGTACCTAACCCCTCACTTTGAATAAAATAAAAAAAATGAGGGAAAAAAAACGAAGAAAACACTTTTTTCACAAGTTTTGATTATTATTATTTTTTAGAATTTAACCACAGCTTTTTTCAATCGAGTTGAGGTCTGGACTTTGGGTGTTGCTGGTGTGCTTGGGCCCGTTGTTTCTGTTGCATTTTGGCCAAGCTTTAGCTGTCAGACAGATGGCTCCACATTTGACTCTAGAATACTTTGGTTTACATAAGAGTTCATGGTCGACTCAATGACTGCAAGATGCCCTGGTCCTGTGGCTGCAAAACAAGCCCAAACCATAACCCCTCCACCACTGTGCTCGATAGTTGGTATAAGATGTTTGGGCTGATATGCTGTGTTTGGGTTTCGTCTTGTCTATCCAAAGAATATTGTTGCAGAAGTTTTGTGGTTTGTTCAGATGCAACTTTGCAATCCTAAGCTGTGCTGCCATGTCCTTTTTAGAGAGAAGAAGCTTTCTCCTGGTAACCCTTCCGCACAAACTATTCTTGTTCAGCCTTTTTCTAATTCTACTGTCAGGAACTTTAACATTTAACATGCTAACTGAGGCCTGTACAGTATGAGATTTACCTCTTGGGTTTTTTGCAATTTCTCTGAGCATTGCACAGTCTGACCTTGGGGTGAATTTGCTGGGACGTCCACTCTTGAAGATTACCAACTGTCTTGAATGTTTTCCACTTGTGAATAACTTTCCACACCTGTAGAATAATGGACTTTTTATACTATAATTATTATACAAAAAATTCTAAAAATAATAATAATCAAAACTTGCTGCTGTGAAAGAATCACACAGCAAAAATGTAAAAAGTGTGTCAGTCATTTATGAACAGAAACTGAAAACTAGCTGTCATGAAGGGGTTAATGAAGGGCATTTGCTTAGCAGTACCTTGCTGCTACTTGGCATCCTAATTCCCATGTAAGCAGTAAGGGTGTACTTGGTTTTCCATACATAACCTCTCCATTTGGCTTGGTTTGTAAAATAAATAATGACAGTGTAATATGTCGTGTTGTTCATCTAAGGTTGTATTTAAGATGTTTAAGGACCAGATGATTTGTATTATGTCCTGCTACTTAAAACCATAGAATTCAAATAGGGTGTACTTTCTTTTTCACATGACTATGTCCCCTGGTCCACCTTCCTGATGAGTGAGGGTGTGTTCCGGTGTCCCCCCTCCTCCGCTCTATGATTCCAGGGACCCAGGACCTCCTATCCACACACCATTCTGCTTCGGAATGTCATGTTTATTTGTATTCCTTTAGCATAACATATAAATGCAACATTTCAGAGCCTCATAGGGCCCCTTCATCAGGCAAAGTGTTCGCCTACAGCCATTCCCTCCAGGACATTTATGTTTTGATGTAGGTCTTCATTAATGTGTTAACACTTTATCCTTACACAGGGCCTGGGTTATGCTTTACGCTACAATGCTTATTTTTTGTGCACTATTGCAGATAGTTTTTGTTGCAACAGTGAACTCGGGTTATTGTACTTTTGCACTTTTGATACTATCTTTAATCAGTATTAAAACTTCTTACGTGACTTCTGTTATTAATGATGGGAAAGTCTATGTTGTTGCAGAGGTTTAGGGTTTGTCTTGCGCTTGCAAGGTGTCATTGGCAACCAGTTGTTATAGCGCCAAGCCCTTTGCAGGTCATGCATTGTTCTTGTGCATTTTTGGAGCTGCACCATAATGGTAAACCTCTTGCGTAGCTTCTGTACATTTCTATAGAGAAGGTGTCTCAAAGTACTGGCCCGTGAACTGCTACAATGTGGGCCACAACCAGCTGACAAGTCAGGTATGCAGTCACAGACTGTGTACCTGACTTGGAAGAGCAGCTACATGGTCTGCATCTCTGCTGCTTGCTGACCGCATATCTGCTCCTGGCGGTGCTGGCACTCTGGGCGTCAGATCACAGCGTGTAACTTTGACTGACAGCCTTAATTGAGCGCCGGGAAGGATTAGTAAGGTCTGCACCAGCCACAGGTGCAGACTGTTGAGAGTGAGTGTCTGTGTAAGTGTATTTGTGTGTGGGGGGACTTATTTATATGAAAACACTTAACCCTTTAAATATCTACTGTTGAGCTCATGCACTCTTTGGTGTTCACCTGGTACCACAGGTTAATCTTGCATGACTTCCCACCTTATTGATCTGGCAGTCCATGTTGTAACAGTGTAATTGCCCTTCACATTGAGCCACACAAGCTATTCGGGCTTGTGTCTATCCATGGTTGTCCAAAACCTCACAAAGCTGGGTCTTTTTTGTTGGTATATTGTTTTCCACTGTTATGTCAGTCCTGTATAACTTCATACAAAGTTAATCAGAGACCATGTGATTTTCTTATTTTGCACTGACTTTCCCTGTAGTTAGTCCCATGCTTTGTGTTTTTTTTTTTTTTTTCATATTTCTCTAAAAGGTTTTTTTGCCTGGTCTGCCATGTCTGTAATTTCCAGGGTCAGCCTGGTGGAAGAAAAATGTCTGAGCTTTTTGTCCCTCCCAAAGTCTACCTAGCTCTTGCTAACCCTCTTATGTGCTGTCCCAGAAAGACGATTTGGTAAAATCAGAGTTAGACATACCGGAAACTCTATTTCCAGGAGTCTTTCCAGGACAGCAAGATTCCCGCCCTAGAGTTGTGTACTTTGTTTTCTGTTGTATTTGTTTGTTTTACTTCAGATGTGGTCCTTCGGTTCTCTAATAATGACCAGTTCAGCAGAAGGAATTCCGTATAAGATTTATTGCTTGCTCGCACTAATTGCGGTGTGTTCCAGAGCGGAGCTGCTGGAACACACAGCAATCACACACTAAACTTCCCCCTTTTGTTCTGGGGCGGGAGGGGGCTTGACGGTGTATTGAAGTCAATGGCACTACAGCCACACCCCTCCGCCTGCAGTGGAATCGGAAACGTGGTAAAACATTGCCTGCATTCTGTTCCATTGCAAAAACTAGAGCATGCAACATTTTTTTGCATTCACAGTGGGACGGAATGCAGGCAATGTTTTGCGGCCGCTCTGGAATGCACCGCCATTGTTGTGAACAAACCCTACATCAAGGGAGTTTATCAAAACTGGAGTAGACAAAATCTGGAGCAGCTGCGCACAGCAACCAATCAGGTTCTCTCTTTCATTTTCAAATCTTAACTGAACAAACTGAAAAGAAAAGCTGATTGGTTGCCATGCACAGCTGCTTCAGATTTTGTCTGCTCCAGTTTTGAGCAGAGAAAAGCAGAACCATCAGATGTGGAAATAGTTCTGTTGATATAGCAGCCCTGAATTAATGGAGTCATTATTACTAATGCGTCAATTTCTGCTTAGTTTAGTTGTTCAGTTCTATTTTTACACAGTCATGCTATATAAAAAGAAATTAAATCTGGATTTTAATTAGGCCTCACTATTCTATCAGCAACTTATTCACCACCTCTGTTACTAAATGAAATGGTTCCCCTTGCAGACAGCAAGCTTAAATAAACTACAGAAAAATTTTAATTCCATATTGGTGCTGCTCTAGGAGTTTTAATAGTAAAAGGCAGAACAGTTACTATAACATCTAGTTTTCAGGTATCTGTAGTACCTGCATCTTTGAACTGGTTGCTCCAGTAATGATGTTGTACTCTCATTTACTATTTCACAAAGGGACAAAAGTAGTCATACTTTTTAGTAGATGAAAGATGTTTTTTTTCACAGTGAACCTATGAATCATTATCTGGCCTTCTTTATGGGTTGTTAACTGTACTGTACTAAACTAAACTAAAAAATAAAAAAGTTCTGTTTTTACTAGTTAACTCCTATCTACAAGGTAAAATTATTAACCATTACTGCTTCACTTAAAGAAGAACTGCAGGCATAACTTCTTAACCCTTTCAGTGGGGCTACCACCACACTACAAGGGTTAAGTGCTGGGTTTTGTCTAGGTGCTAAAATAGTTCTACTCACCTGATCCTCTGAGCCAACTGGCTCTATGACCAGTCCTTCCAGCCCGTCCCCCTCTCTGCTGCAGTGGCCTAAGGTCCTATGAGTCATCATGTCCAATGCACTGTGTATAGGACATGAGGAGGCCAAAGGACATACATTGCTGGAGTGGAGGAGGAAACGGGCTGGAGGCAGCGCTGTAACAGCCTGCTGGCTGTGAGATTTGGGAGAATATAACTTTATTTTTGCACCTAGACCAGTGGTTCTCCACCTTTCTAGGGCTGGGACCCCTTGGTAACATTTGCCAAGTTGTGGTGACCCCCCAACGGTAAAATTTAGGGATGATGCGGCTGCTGCAGCGACATCTGGCGGCGTGGCGGGAGAACTGACACTGCTGTGCTAGGAGAGGGCTGAGGAGGACTCTCGCCTAGCACAGCAGAAATCAGGCACCCACAGGTTGAGAACCATTGCTTAAAGGAGACAACAAATCTCAGCAATAGTCAATTATACTATAATGTTGTATTGCTGGGATTTGTAGTCCTCTGTAGCTAGTGTTGTTCTGCGTTGCGCTGTAGAATGTATTATTGCTGGGATTTGTAGTCTTCTGTAGCTGCTGGTATTCTGCAGTGTGCTGTATAATGTGCTGCGCAAACTGTTGGCACTATATAAATACTATGTAATAATAATGATTATACAGCGCAACGCAGAATAACACCAGCTATAGAGGAATACATCAAATCGCAGCAATAGTACATCATAATATAATGTACTATTGATGGGATTTGTAGTCCTCTGTAGCTGGTGTTATTCTGCTGATTTGCAGCAGCAGAGGGCGGGTGCAATAGCTAGTTTGCTATTGGCTATTGCAAAGGGAAATAGCCAATAGGAATCTAGCTATGCATTCCTATGGTGTGTTTTTTTTTTTACTTTTTCTGACTGACGGCGGCCCCGATGTCAGAAAAAAAAAACAGAACAGAGAAAGGTTTACTCTGCTCGATCGAGCACAGTAAACCTTTCCGGGAGAAAGTGTTTCTCTCCCGGGCGGCCTGGAGCCGCTAGGCTACCCCTGGCAAATCGTCATTTGACCCCCCCACTGCATGAGTTTTGCCCAGGGTTCTACTTTAATGGTTATGATTCATGATACAAAAAGGAATACATGGTGCTGTGCAATCATTTTTATTATTGCATCATATGGCCTTTGTATTACTGAGTTCATAATTTTTCAGCTACTGTATTTGTTACTCTTGTCCATTTCCTCACCATTAAAAAATGTAACAGTTTTTAATTTGTATTTGTTTAATATTTTAAGTTTTCCTTTTGTCCCCATCTAATGTTTGTATCCTTAATTTTTCCCCATTATGTTGCATTTCAGAACATGTAACCTCTAATGCCAGCGATAGCGAAAGTAGTTACCGTAAGTGTCTTACGCTTCTTGCTTTCTTACCAAGGCCTAATTCTGTCTTGTCACACTGTTCTTTCCCTCATTTTCCAAATCCCATCAGATCATAACAGAAGCACTGGAATGAACGTGGTAGTTTTGTTTGTATTTCAGTAGTTGTAGTAGTTAATTTCTTGAATGTTTAATATTTCTTTGTAGTAAAACAATTCTAAATCTCAAAATACTATATGTAACTAACGCTTGCTAAATCTCCTACTTGTAATTGTGAAATGAAAATCAGAATAACTGTAGATATTGCAATCATCTTTATTTTCAATTTCTTTTGTTTTTATTGCAAACTTAAAAGTAATCTTGATTACGGATGAGTACGGATGTTCACAAGGTCTATTGTACTAATATTTTTCTTTTTGTAATATACTTTGAAACCTCAAAATGCTGTTTTTGGTAAACTTACACTAACATAAATTATTTATGGTATGCTTTGGAAGTTTCATTTCAGCAGGTTATTTTTGGAACCGTTTTTTTCCAATTTGGCTTAAATTTAACAGCTTATGATGAGGTTTGGAAAGTATAAATTTTCCTGAATGTTTGCATGATTAATTTGACTTGCATCATATGAAACTGCATGTTTTTTGTGCTGTATTTTTTTCTGTGGGTGGGAAATAGCAGTATGATGGTCTCGAAGAATCTATGAACAATGTTTTGGAATGATCTGATAGAGAAGATGCAATTGATCAGAAAAGGCAAAATTATGTAGCCACATTTCTTTTAAAATAATTGCTGCATGAAGATGTTCATACTAATGACTACTTAATGCAGTGACGTAGAAGGCCAAGAGTTGCCTAATCCAGGAGAAGACAGTAATGGTAGAGAAAAATCCATCCAGTTTAGTTAATGGAACAGGAAGGAAGCTAATGAAATGTGTATAGAAATTATAAAGCAAATAGAAGCTTTACGTTAATTTTTAACAGCCGTATTAGATACATTTAAATAGTAAAATGGTAAACCTGTTTTAAATTACTTAAATGGTGCACATTTAGTGCTTTTTTTTTTTTTTATTTCTCAATTTAACCTTTTTTAACATTTTCAAGTGATGATCTGTTTTTTCGAGTGTGCTCTTTGTTAAAAATATATTGTTTATTCATTGAAAACATTTTTACTCGTTTCCTTTCAGAACAGTCTATTTTGACCACTGTCCAAGAGAGGGCTTACCTCACTTTGGAGAGATTTGTCACGGGTTGTAACCATTCCCTACTTTATCCAGAATTTAAAAATATATGTAAAGCCTAAACGTTTTTGTAAGAAAAGTATAGCCAAGTTTTTTGTATAGAGGTTAAAACCCCTCTCCGGTTTTTGTATTTTTTTTTTTTCTTCTTCTTCTTCATTGGGGATATTTTTATTCACTCCCTGTCCATGTCCCATCTAGCACTTAGAAAATGAAGTAAACTTCCACATAGTTCCATGGACCTCACTGAGAACATCATGGAGTCTGTCATGCCCAACTCTTCTATGAAAAAAAGTGTCTTGTTGACTCCATGTCCCAGGTGGCTAGCTTAGGAAGTGAGGAAAAAAACCTCTGACACCCCATTCACACTGAGCGACACCTTGAATGGATTTCCGCAAAATCGATATAGCGTGACTTTCCCAGCAATGATCGTGCGACCGTCACTATTGGGCTGCATGTAAAAAGAGCAAAATCGCGCGACATTCGTGGAAAAAAGGGTCCTGCAAAGTGCGCAGCAACAGGTGTTATTGCGCCGTAGATTCAAAAAGTGCCATTGAAAAGCATCGAATGAGTGAGATTGTGCGGAAATCCGCTCAGTGTGAATGGGGCCTTAATGTGGATGGAGAGGACTGTAATCCTGGTGAAGGATTTATCCCCTCACCTGTGTTAAAAAAACAAATTCTCTCCTGCTACTGAGAAATTAAAAGCTACATAAAGGCAAGAAACACAGACAATAGTGCACTGCAAAAAAAAAAAAATACCAAGGCCAATAATTTAGCTGCATGCCCAGCATTTGTACATTTGCAACTATAGTCTGTGTTTGTGATGTACTATTTATCTTATTATACCACATTTTGTCAGTTTGGGTAAAAGCATGCTGATTGTATGTTATGTTCTGTTCATTGCCTAATGTTTTTGCTCTTTTATAGTGTATGGTATGGTTTTTGTTAAACTATGCATATGAGAGTGACGGAGTAATCCTTAGAAGTTTTAAAATAGCTTAAACATGAGTTGACATTCGTATAATAATTGTCCTCTTTCACACTAGACCAGGGGTCTTTTAGTGTGAACAATAGCATGCCATGGTCTTATAGTTTTGTTTTTCATTTTTGTACTCAGTTGTACTGTGAATGGCAGTTTAAACAAATTTAATTTATTATATTAACTAGTGCACACACAATGTTTATATTTAGACCTCAGATTTGCTACAATTCCTACACATTCAGCCTTCAGATGAGCCACAATTCCCACACCTTCAGAATTCCGATCAGCCACAATTCTTGCACCTTCAGACCTCAGGTCAGCTCCAATTCCTGTGCCTTCAGGCCTTAAATCAGTCCCAATTCATGCATCTTCGTACATCAGATCAGCTCCAAAGCATGTATCAGTAGACCTCAGATAAGCCCCAAAGCATGCATCTTAGATCAGCCCCAAACTCTTCACATTCACACATCAAATCAGCTCCAAAAGCATGCACCTACAGACCTCAGATAATGCCCACACAGGGCACATTCAGAAATGCAGAGGTTTCATATGCCTACTGCCGGGTATAAACAAGTAGAGGAAGAGTGTGGGTGCGCAGTCTTCTTTCACACACCAGCAACACTTTCAAGAACGTCCGGGAGGTGGATGTGCTGTGGGTCAGGCTTAGTGCTGGACAGCCTAGTTTGAGTTCTCCTCTGCACTAGTGCTTACCTCCCCATGTACGCCCCACAGCCTTCTTCCACCACTGCACTCCTAAAACACCTGTACCACTTGTGTGTCCCTTGTACACCTTTGCACCCCAAACACACCTCTTCCACCACTGTACCCTCTACACACCTTTCTCACCACCCGACCACACACACCTATGGCTCCTCTGCAAACCCCATACACTTGTTCTACCACCACTGCGCTCTGTGCCACCTGCACACCTTTCCCACTACTGTATGCCCCTGCATACCTCTGCATCCTTAAGTTGGTGGGGGTAATTTCATTAGGCTGCCTGCAGTGCTATGGGGGGGAGGGGGGGTTGGAGCTGGGTAAAGTGGCAAGCCGCACACCGTTCAATGTCAGAACATTTCATGTTGGGCAAGATGCCTGTGGCTGGCAATTTGAATTAAATAAATTACAATCGGCTGCTTACAGCCTTGGGATGCAGGGAACCACAGCTACTGCGCATTTATTACACTGAGCATATTTCTTGATTGTACTTTACAGGACGCAGGGAGTTAATTCTGGAACAAGTAGGTTTTACAGCTACCTTCAAGTGATTGGACACTGGCGCATCAAAGCTGTAAAGACAGCCCTGAATAACCCTTCCAACTCCTAGCCTGTCTCAGTTTCTTGCTAGTGTTCTTAGTTGATGGGCACTTTCTCTCTGCTCTGAGAGAAGCGCATAATTTTCTGCACTTTTCTAATTCAAGACTCTTCTATCAAGTTTCCCTAAACTGCATAAAACCTCTCAGCAGCTTTTCAAATTGGTTTTCTCCACAGTTAAGCTTTGGTGGACCATACTCAGACCCCACTGGAGGGAAGCTGCAGGACCGGCCTGGTATTTGCTCAGGGCACTGGGTCGTGCTTGGAGTGCTCACCCTTGGCAGCATGTGGATTAGCCGCAGGTTTCTAAACAGTTCCAGGGCCATGGTCCATCTTAATGGAGCCCTGTCCCTGAAGGGAGGAATGCCCACTAGAAAGGCCAAGATTAGATAGGGTCAATTTAAATGGCTGTTGCTACCCTCTGGATGACACCACTTCTAATAGGGTTTTAGCAGTTGGAGCAGCTGCCCTTTTTTGAATTTAGCACCGTTCTCAATTCCCATTGCCGGCCTAAGGCTCGCTTCTGCTCCAGCTCAGCCTACCTTTTGGAATCCTACAGCACAAGTACCAACAATTTTAGTTTGTTGGCTGGGTGGACATCAAGTATGCATAATTGCACATCCCCATTTTTCCTGCTCACTAGCGCTACCTGCGTTTTGTTGTGCACGTGCAACACTAGTAGTATGTTGCCCTTACATTTAGCCTTTCCCCTGCACCTCAGGTCTTAACCAAAGTGCTTGCCCCTATTTTGGTTTAGTCTCAAGGGATCCCCATAGAGGGGTACTTTCATGACCACCTTACTCAAAGCAGTTGGTGGGAGCATTATTGTCCAACATTTGTCAGTCTATACAAACCCTGCAGCGCTTCTGATGAGACCAAAATCTCTAGAAATCGGTGCTAGAACCCTCTCATTGCTTGGAGTACCTGAGCCTTATCTTAGACATTGCCTGTCCAGGGGCTTCCTTCCCCTTGAATAGATCTCGATGCTTGTAGCATTTGGTCCTGGAGCCACCTGACAATTTTCTTTTGCACGAAGCTTCTATGCTTAATGATGGCCACCTTTTTGAGGCAGTTCCATGTGCTCAGTTTCACTCCTGGTCATTGCAGCTTAACATTCTGGCTGCATGGGACAACAAAGTTTAGTCCCTGGACCTCCCCATTAGCCTGTCTAGCAAGTCAAGGCTTGTCTGGAGTAGTGGTGCTGGAGTCAGGGAAATCCAAGGGATCTGGTCATCTGAGGAATTTCGACTCCAGGTCACACTCCTGGAGCACGGGGCATACATCAACCATCAGGGAAGTGCCAGCAGTTGTGCAGCTCAAAGAGAAGCAGACCTGATCTTGGCTTGGGAGAATGTCCGGACCCTGTCTGCTGTGCACAATCCAGGTGTGGAAAATTGGCAGGAAGACTTCCTCACTTTGCAACATCTGGATTCCAGAGTATGGTCCCTTCAATTGGAGGTGTTTCAGGCCCTTTGTTGCAGGCAGTGGTTGACCAATCAAGTATATTGCCAGGATCAGTAAGCCTCTGCAGTAGATGCCTTGGTGACGCAGTGGGATCAGTTCAGCTTGATCTACATCTTACCTTCTTAAAACTCTTGCCTCTCACCTCTTTCGCAGAATCGAGACAGAGCATTCTTGTATTTTCTATAGCTCCTAGCTGACCCAGAACACTGTGGTACGCGGTCGTAGTTTACTTACTTCAGACTGCATGGGCACTTCCAGATTGTCCAGACCTATTGTGCCAAGGCCCAGTATTTCATTTTGCTTCTCAGTTGCAGGCTGGGCCATTGATGCCCAGGTCCTGAGCAACAAAGGCCTTTCAGATGCTGTCACCCATACACTCTTGAAAGCTAGGAAATTGCCTACAAAGTTTGCCATTGCACCTGGAAGGTTTATTTTGTATGATGCAAAGTGAGAAAGTTCCATCCCAGGAAATACTCAGTGGGATGCATCTTTTCTTTCTGGCAGTATGATCCAGACCAGCACAGGGTTATTCACAAAATGGTGAAGAGTTTGGAGAAGGCAGGTGAAGTGAACAATCTAGGCCAAAATAGCTGATTTGGAATAATTCTCCAATTCAGCTCACTTTCCGATTCGGCTATGTTGTCCTAGATTGTTCACTTCTCCTGCCTTCTCCAAACTCTTCACCCTTTTGTGAATAACCCTCTTAGTGTTAAATTTCATCAATGGTCAAATTACTGTTTTTGATTTTTTTTTTTTTTTGTAGCCTCTCATCTAGTGAAGATTTTTGTGCAGGGGGTTCCCCACGTTGTTCCTCCTGTATGCATGTCAGTGACTCTGTGGAACCTCAACTTTGTTTTCATGCTCTGCAGACGTTGCCTTTTAAGCCTTTCTGGGATATCTCACTGACCTTTCTTATTCACGAGATTGCGTTCTCATTGCCAATACTGCTGCTAGGCATGCTTGAGTTAGCAGCCATATGCACCAAAACATCCTAAAGATGTTTCTCTCCACTTTTTGTAAGTGTTTGAGTTTACCTTTCTGCTACAGCTTCCATCTGCAAGTCTGACTTTCTCTTTGTCATTCCCAAAGGTCCCTGTATGGTGCAGCCTTTTTTCTCGTTCTTTTATTTTTACATTAATTTGTCAAACTATTGCACAGGGCTGTGAGCTGAGTAAAGTGTATCCCCCCTTCCTTTTCCAGTCAAGGCTCACTTTACTAGAAGCGTTTAGTGCTTCTTGGGCCTTTCAGCATCAGGCTTCTGAATCCCAAATCTATACGGCTGCCAGCTAGTCCTCTCTTTACAAATTTGCCACGTTTTTCTAGGTGGATGTTCAGGCCAGCTTTTGGTCACAGTGCTCTTTAGACAGTCCTCTGAGTTGTGGACTCCTTCTGTTTTAGTTCCCTGTTGGAGGGTTTGTACTTTTCAGTGGCCTATTAACCATGGTTTAATAAGCCATAATCTTGCCTGTGCCTATTTTGGACTGCTTTTTGATGTCCCATGTCCTGTGATGAGACAAAAATCCAGTTTTCTATTTTGTACATCTGTAAAATCCGCTTCTTGGGTTTCATCACAAGATCCTTTCCTCTGGTTTTTGTGATACTCTTGAAATGCTTGCTACAAGATGAGGCGGGCTGGGAATGGGAGGGATTATACAGGGCTGTACTTACTGCTTTAATTTGACAGCGTCCAATCATCTGAAGGTAGTTGTATAACCGATTTGGTTGCAGAAGTTTCCCCATGTGTCTTGTTATATACTCCAAGAAGCAGACTTTACAGGCAAGACAAAGATCTTGTCTTAGCACTTTTATGCAAAAGTAGAAAACCACTTTAATTCCCTTTCCCTTCCCAAAGAATTGAGTACATGTATTTCACTGTCTAATATGATTTAGCACTGCATTGAGTGGTTGCCAGAAGTCATTGCCTGGGATCAATTTTATGCAGAATTTCTGCAGCCAAGCTGTCAGTTAAGGACCCAACTAGCTTATGGAGATATTTTCTTACTATATTTATATTAAAGAAGACTGCAGGAAGTATAATGCCATTTATTTCCCTCTTGGTTTCATGCTAAAATGTACATTTCTGGGTAATTTTTAAGGTAGCATAAGAATTAGATTACTTTAAAGACAAATCGTAGTTATTATTATCATAATCATACAGGATTTATATAGCACCAACACTTTGTGCAGCTCTTTACAATATAAGGAAGGCATTACTATTTACAATACAATTCAAGACAAGATGGTACGGAGGGCAGCAGAGCTTACAATCTAACAAACAGAGCTTACAATCTAGAAGGGAGGGGTAAGTGATGCAAGAGGTGGTAGCTGTGTGGGAATGAATTGTTTGAGAAAGTGATAGTTCAGTGGTTAGGTTGAGGCAGGATAGGCTTCCCTGAAGAGATAAGCCTTTTAGGGATTGCCTAAAGGCAGACCGAGTAGGAGATAGCTGGACAGGTTGGGGTAAGGAGTTCCAAAGGATGGTAGACTCTAGAGAAGCATGCAAGGAGTAGTTCAAAAATGTTACTTTGGAAAGGGCTAATTTTTAAATAACTTAACCTTCTTGGACTTCTCCAAGATAATGTGTGGGTTTTGTTAAATATGGGTGGTGGTAGTATTATTACGATCAGTTGATACGATGGCGCTATAGCTATATCGCAGCCACACATGTGCAGTATTGTCCCCTTCGATTTCCACAACAAAAACGCACACACACACCCACCCCCTCCAACTCCCCCACTTACCTGAATTCCGAGGTTCTTCTCACAGATTTCTATTTTTTTAATTTGGCGAGGCTGTGCATGTCTCCGCCTCCACACAGTCAAGTTATCCATTCACAGATCCTTTGACACCATGGCAAAAAGACTTGTAGTCCTCAGTGGAATATAAGTGTGATGATGTCACCACACTTGTCCATTCATTCTTCCTCCTGTCCATGTTACTGAATGTTCCTGCCTCGGTACGGATTGGGAGGGAGAATCTGCAGGAGCCAGAGCATTGCAAAAAAAAGCCCATTACTTCTTTACGAAGAAGTATCCATTTATTTATTTTTTTAAATTTGGACTTTATCTTTAATTGCGGGATGGATTTACTCTTTAAATCTGCCTTTCATAAGTATTATAGTCCTTGATGGTAAACGGCAGGAATATATATATATATATTGTGCAGGATTTCTCTCCTTATTTGTATGTATTTTCTTGTCAGGTGGTCAAGAAGAATATGTTTTATCGTATGAACCAGTCAGTCAACAAGAAGGTTTGTGAACATGAATTGTTTAGTCCTTTTTTTGGGGGGTTCTACATTGGTTCTACTTGTAAGTACTCACCCATAATAAATTCTAACTTCTTCCCTCCAGGTGTACCCCACACCATGCACTTTGATCGAGTTTTGAAAATATTTATTTTGATGAATATACTTTATTGATAATGCTGATAGCAGAAGTATAATTTATGTAATACTAAATAGTATTGTGCAGCTTTGTAATGCTTTTTGAATAGAATGCAAAATTATCAAGATGGTCCTAAGCTTATTAGCTAATAGAAGTCTTTAAAGATTATACTGTATATAAATTAGACTCTTTAGTTTATTGTTATGTGTACCAGAAAACGTATGCATTTTCTGTACGTAGAAGAGATTGTGATTGACAGAATTCAATGTTTATAGACCTATGAACAGACCTTGCATTTAGCTTATCCTGCCAAAAGTGTGGGCTGTCAGCACTGCACTGATCAATAGCTGAGGATTCAGTTTTTCTACCTCTTGCACCAGCCCTGAGAGAACCCAGGTCTAATGCGATCTATGAGGAAGACACATGCAACCTGTAGAACACTAGCAAAATCTGAGGCATGAGGGTTGAAAGTGAGGTTAAGCAGGGGTTTGCTTATTGTTTGTTCGAACCTCCTGAAGGCAGCAGTATAACCCAAATGCTACATTCCTGTGTCTCTCAATAGACTTCAATAAAAAATGTTTAGTATTAAAATGTTATTTATGTGCAGTAATATTTAGTTTGTGTGTGTGTGTGTGTGTGTGTGTGTGTGTGTATAAAGATATCTAATAACAGTTCATGAAAGGAAGTTTTACAAATGTCAAGAAGAATAGACCTAGGTTCTTGAAAACCTGCATCTCTCTCCTTGGATTCTAAACTTTTTTTTTTTTCTTCTCCAGTAAACTATTCCCGACCAGTCATTATTTTAGGGCCAATGAAGGACAGAATTAATGATGATTTGATCTCCGAATTTCCTGAAAAGTTTGGATCTTGTGTTCCCCGTAAGTATTATTCCTGCAGTCAGAAACTATATTTTGGTTTTCAAAACCACCTCTCTTCTAAGGCTGGTCATACACTAGTCATTTTTTTTCTTATTCCGCTCATTCAGAATGAAAGAATTCCTCCCCCCTTCTCCATTGTGCTAGTGTATTCTGGCAGCAATGAGTGTGCCTCTGTCAGAATACCTGAACAGTGACTGGAGTGTTTAGTTGCAGTCACTGTTTGGGTGAGAATTTTGGACCGGCACCTTTTGACAAATATATATTGAAAAATCAATTTGTGTTGAGCAGGACCCGGACAAAATTTGAGTAGTGTATAGTCATCTTTACTGCGAGTAATAGTTAAAGTGAACTTGGGGGTTATTTTTGACCACTGGAAATTGCTAGTTGCCTGGCTGTTATGCTGACCCTCTAGCTTTACTACTTTCTAAATCACTGCATGGTGGCAGCATGATAGCCAGGCAGCTAGCATTCTCATGAGTAGTGGCAGTGGCAATCTCCATGTTTATCTGCCATGTTAAAGTACTCATGTGCCCAGACTGTGGACTTGAAAGGTGTGTGCATATTCTTAACAAGCAGTAAAAGATCTATAAAAAAAAAACGAGCCATCCCTGACCTTTCCATCTGCCTTACTGTAGTTATTGATTCTCAATCAAACAAATACATACAAACAAAGTTTGTTGAAAGAAGGTGTGCCAAAGGCCAATTTATGACCATGGACATATCTGGATTTTATCCAAGAAGTATACAAGATCAGTTTATAACTTTAAAGTTAAACTGAATCCAAAACTTTTTTTTAAACGCCTGTCAGCTTTTTCTGCCATCTGTGTCCCTTTGGGGAGATTTCCTTTCACTAACTGACCAATAGCCACAACAGACGGCAATAAAAAATCAAAACAGGTGTTCCTATCCCTATCCATTCTATCCAAAACTAAAAAAAAATTAAGTTTTGGCCACAGTTGCACTTTTGAAATGAAAAAAAAAGTGTAATTGACAAAAACCATTATAATTTTCCTTTCTGTGAACTATTTTATTCTTTACTTCAGACACAACTCGACCAAAACGAGACTATGAAGTAGATCGGAGAGATTATCACTTTGTCACTTCCCGGGAGCAGATGGAAAAGGATATTCAAGATCACAAATTTATAGAGGCAGGCCAATACAATAATCACCTTTATGGCACTAGTGTACAGTCTGTGCGAGAAGTGGCAGAAAGGGTAAGTTTTTTTTTTCTACATTACTTCCTGTGGTGTGTTGTTGTCTTCTAGTTTTCTCACTGGACCTACTCCTTTTCATTCTAGGGAAAGCACTGCATACTTGATGTGTCTGGAAATGCAATTAAAAGATTACAATTAGCCCAGCTATACCCAATTTCTATTTTCATCAAACCTAAATCTGTAGAAAATATAATGTAAGTATTGCATTGACTGCTAACCAGTTGCAGAATTACTTGGATGGTTTGCAAAATACACTATATATGTACATTAGCGGTGTATATACTTTGCTAAACAAACATAACTATATTCAGTTCTAATAGAAGAAGTAGGTAGGCCTCACAAGTGCTAAGTAAAAGTCAGTTTCAAAAGAGAAATGGATATTAACAAAAACCTAGAATGTTATTTCTGATACTCGGCTTAACATCATTGTGAAGTCAGTTTGTTGGCTGGTCATGCAGCCAGAGGTGGGAGTGGATTGGGAGCAGGACATTTCTAGGATTGTGAGAACATGAGTTACAGGTTGTTGAAAAAGTATTCATTCACTTGGGAGTTATACCGTTTTATTGTCATGGGACATTCATTCACATTGGATTGTTGTTTTTTTATGCTGATAAAAAGAAATAGACTTATAAGTGAAAAAGGAAAAATGCATAGTATTGATTTTCTTAAAACATGATTCCTTGAGGTGAATTGCAATATTTTAGGAATTTTCAACATCTGTATTGATTTATGTGAGTGTGCTACTGATATGAAATCTTGTGTATTTAAAGTTATATCTATTACCAGACTATGTGTTCTTGATTAAAATGTCAGATATTGGTTTTATCCTGGTTTTATATTGTCCTGTGAAGCCTTTCCAAATACCCAAAAGAAGCCTAAGTAGAGTTGATCACAATTACCGAGTTCTTAGTCACTGATTGAATGTTTTTTGTTCATCTGGACAGGGAGATGAATAAACGTCTAACAGAGGATCAAGCCCGGAAAACGTTTGAGAGAGCTTTGAAACTGGAGCAGGAGTTCACAGAGCATTTTACAGGTTTGTCATTCATCTTCAATGTTAATACTGGGTTTAGAATTCTTTAAAAGAGAACTATGGAGTAAGTGTTTTTCCCCATAGTTCTCTTAAGTGCCCCAAGGAGGACATAAATTAGCGTCCTATCGTGACCAAAAGCTCAGTATATCGCGAGCTACAGCTCGCGGTATACTGAGACCGCCGCAGCCGGGACGGATCCCGACATTACTGTCGAGATCCACCCAGCTGCGTGAGTGACAGCGGGCTCTGCCTATCTAGAAGCAGAGCTAGCTGTAACCGCCTCCTCCCCCGTCCGTTCCTCCAGTCAACGCTGGAGGATCGGAGCGGGGAGAAGGGGAATCCCTGCAGGGAGCCGTGAGTGACAGTCACAGGTCTCTGCAGGGAGATGATCGAGAAGTGAGTGAGCGATGGTATGTGTTCGCTCACTTCCCGATCTATTGAGCCGACGTGTGACAGTTTCATTGTCACACGTCGGCTCGAACTATGAGGATGAGTGATTTTCACTCACCTCATAGTTCTCCTTTTAGACAATGTATATGTTTTCAGATTGTGCCTACTACATATGTGTGCTTTCTCAAATGGGGACTGAACTTACAGAATAGGCTGCGACAAAGCTCTGAACTCTTCTGCATCAACTCATCAATTTTAAGTTTCTGCATTAATAGTTAACCAATCAGTTAACCACAGCAGATGATGTGAACAGTACTTATCCCTGTTGGTTTGTCCAATAAGAATCTTCTTAAATCCTGCATCAGAGAAGACCACTGCATAGTGAAAGACACTTTAGAATGGAAAGACATCTATTATACAGGCTATGTTATAACAAATGCATCGTGATTTTTACTGTACTGTATGCTTTGTCATAGTTTAGGGCAGGGGCGCCCACTATTTTTCGTCTGGAGATCTACCTTTCAAATGACGAGTTCATTGAGATCTACCAACGAAAAAAACACCTGCATTCAGGGGCGGGAGGTCAATGGCACCGCAGCCAGGTTTCGCAGGCAGGCCCCTCGCCCACAGTGCTATCGCCTGCATTAGTGCCTGTGTTCCAGTCCAGTGCGAGCCTCAAAAATGCTGCGAGCACTATTTTTGCAGATCACACTGGACCGGAATGAAGGCACTAACATGCCTGCGTTCCGAGTGCGGGCGATCGCACAACCTGAGGCAAGAAAAACACAAAAAATGTAAAAAAAAAATTTTTACTATTTTTTATTTTCATTATTTCTTTTTTTTCCCGTAATTTTAATTTTTTTTTTTACTCTTGGGGGGGCTTTGGGGAAATATTAGGGGTCTAAACAGCCCCCTGATATTTCCCTTTTAAAATAGAAAAAGAAATTGAGGACACAAAGTCCTCAATCTCTTTTTCTGCAGCCTCTATTCTAAATGAATGGAAAGCACAGAGGCTTCCCATTCATTCAGAAAATATTTTACTATCAAGCTGTTTCTGAATGGGGAGGAGCCTCTGTACAGAGTGCTTCTCCCCATTGAGAAACTTATGAATGAACAGGAGGTGATGTAAATCACCTCCTGTTCATTCATTTATAACTGGGGACACATAGTACTATGTGTCCCCAGTTATTTACAAACACTGGAGTGATCAGCCGATCGCTCCAGTGTTTGTCCTGCACAGAGGATTGGTACATACCAGTGACATTTACCGATCCTCTGCTGCTCGTCCACGCACAGGGGGGTTGCAACTTCTCCTCTGGATCTCCCCTGCTGTCCAGGGCAGAGGCAGTGGGGGATCCAACGAGAAGTAAAAGAGAATATCAGCCGCGGGGGGGCGGGGCCGCTGTGACAGAACTAAGGACGAGCAGTGAGGGGAGAGAGAGGCGCCGGCTGTCAGATGTTGGCCGAGCGTCTCTCTCTCCTCACCGCTCTTCATTAGTTCTGTGACAGCGGCTCCGTCCTCCGCCCTCCCCCGCCGCCGTTTCCTTTACTTCTTCTCGGAACCCCGCTGGGGAGAGCGGCGGGAGGAGAGGACATGTCGATCTACCAGTGGATGTAAATTTTTAACACTTGACTTATCCAGAGATTGATCTTAAATTTTAAAATGCTGAAAAATACAAAACAACTTTAAAAAAAATACAGAGTGGGTCTGATTTACAAAAAGGAAGTAAAGCAATCGGAAGCAATGCTGGTATGAATGCCAAATGCATCCAGTCAGATTCTTTGGAGACATTGTCACATAAAACCTGCCGTGGGCATCTCCTTCACTTTTGCCCCATTTTATGTTGATTTGAATTGTTTTTCTTTTACGTTTGGAGCATTGACTGTGCCATAGTGTCTGGTCCACTACAGCAACTGCATAATTCTGTTCTGGTGCAAAGCTTTTGGCACTAATGATGGCACTAAAAAAATGGCACCAAAGATTTTATTGTATTATTTTGATGCCATGGTCATCATACTGCTAGAATTGCAGGGACTTATCGCCATGATAGTCTATATTTCACTTAAGGTTTATAGTCTGCATTGGGAGTTCGTATTTATTTTTTCAGGTGTAATAAAGTAATATTTTGGTTGTGGGAAGTGTAACATGTAATAAATGCTGCTGTTCCAAAAATTTCTGCCACAGAAAGCGCATCAATAATAACATTCGGATGATGCTGTTTTTCTTTTCTTTAGCAATTGTGCAGGGCGACACTCTGGAGGAAATTTACAATCAGGTGAAACAGGTCATAGAAGAACAGTCTGGCTCCCTCATCTGGATTCCTGCAAAAGAAAAGTTATGAAACATGAAGAGAACTCTATTTGGAGCTCCTATCACTACCCATTCACAACATCCTGTACCTTTTCCCATAGGAGCAGGCCCCGTTTGTATGGGACTGTTCTTGCCACTTATTTGCTGCCCTTCCATCCACCTTTTACATGGTTATATTTTATTTAATTTTAATACTGTCAAATTTAATTTCTTAAAATGTTTTATTCTGTTTTCAAAGGTGGAATGGCTGGAGCAGTTATTGTAAGGTTAGAAAATAAGTGGCAAAATTCCTTAATGTTTAAGGGAAAGTTACAAATGCATTTTAAGGAAGAAAAAAAAAAGCTTTATAGACAATTTTCAAAAAAGAAAAAATTTACATGAAATAAGTGGTCTTAATAATATTGTGAGCATCTTTGCACAATTCGCTTTTAACAGCATGGTTTGGCCTATGCATTTAATTCTCTACTGTTTTGACTTGATCCGGTTCTTTACATAGGCAGAGTTTCTCTTGGCATACCATTGCCTGGTTGCAGCTGCATTGCATAACATTTTTGGTTCTGCAATCTGCTCTAAAGCACCTTCTGGCAATGTAAAGGTTATCTTCAATCATTTGTCATAAGATCAATTTTTGTTTTGTCTTGTTGTATTGTACTCCAGCGTTCTTTATAGGAATGACTTTTAAACTTGATTAATCGTATGCATATAAATACAATTTAAAATGTCTGACAAATTTTTGATATGGATCACCTTTGTGAAAAGAGTTAAATCTTCAGGTCATTAACATAGCCTCTCTAATGTAAATAGACACTACAGGAGAACACATCCCTACATCTCATTTGGAGAATTGGATTCATAGACTTAATGCTGTATGTGTATTCTTAGTAGACAGATTTTAATATTTTACCCACAATAACTGCCTATTTTGTTATAATAAAATATATATTAAACTTTCTTTAAATTCTAACTATGGGAGTACTTTTCTTGCACATGCGCATATATAAATCTAAAAATATATATTTTTTTCTCTTATCACTTTTTTTTTTTTTTTTTTTTTTTTT